TGGTAGATCTCGATGCGCTGAATAACGTAATTTTTTGTTCCACGTTCTAGCCCTTGAGACTTTTTGGCAAATTGAACACAAAGGGCGTAAGTGCACCGTTTTGGTTTCCGAGCCGCAGAGACCGCAGTTTTGATCCGATCGTTGCGGACGAGGACTCAAATTAAGCAGAAAAGAACGCGGAACAAAATAGCAGTTGCACATTTTCCAAAACAAGTTTCCTTCCACCCGATCTAGGGCGTTAAAGGCAAACTTTTGGGTCGCACCTGCGTTCAATTTTCAATCAACTCGCCCGCGTTTGTTGGAACACCGTCCTAGTGAAAATTTGCCTCTTATGAACCCTGTGCGGCCAACCTTCCCCCGTAAGAAGCCGTTTTCTCTTTTTTTGTGCGACCACCCTGAGCCTGTAAAATCGCCCTGGAATGAACCCCTGCAGCCTGCGCGCTGGCGGCGCGCCGCCCGCCGCCGCGCTGCTCCACTGCTCCCCCCTCCACTCTCGTCCTCGGCCGCATCTGGAGGCAGGGTGTTGTCTCTCTCGCTCCCTTTGTAAACGCATTAGTGCGAGAACGGTACTGCATGCCTGCCGCTTCGGAGCCCGGCCGAGCGGCCGGCTCAGATGTTTACAACGCGCAATTCCTACTTCGCAGTTTCAGTAACCAAAACAAATTTTATTGAAGGAAAGGTTTGTTGAGCTCGGTAGAACGCGACGCGCTCTACAACCTCGCTTTTCATCCACATTTTTCGGAAGATTTCTTCCCCTTGTATTGGACGAAAGGGCCTTAGCGCGTTCAAAGTCCTACACTGAAAACGGCGGCACTTAGAAATGCCGGAAAGAAGCCCAAACGACCCAAATGCATCAAGGAATCGTTTCACCATCCACCGATACAGTTCAGTAAAATAATCAGGCAGTTATCTTTATTTTACTATTTTCTTTCATTGTTTTCTTCCCAACTTCCACCATACTATTGCGAGAAAATGGAGCTGAAATCGCAAAATGCGCCCCGAGGAATCGTCAAGCGCTGGCGTTTCAGCTGTATGTAGGTATTTTCAGAATTTCGCTAAGTGCAACGGTTGCTGAGAAAAGCTGTTCGAAAGGCAGCGGTGCACCCGGGCGCCGCCGCGCGAAGCCAGGCGGAGCGGCGGTCGCGCGCCCGGCGGACAAACCATCGCCACGTCGCTTGGGTGAGGAAATCGAAAAATTGGTCCCGAGTGAACGTCAAGCACCAGTCTTTTAGCTGCATGTCGGTGCTTTCGGATTTGAGCTAGGTCAAACGGTTGTGTTACAAATCCATTTTTAGTCCAGATCCGACACTGCCGCGCCACTTCATTGCGCGCGCCATGCTGCTGAGCGGCGCAGCCTGTGTAGGATTTGATTTTCTACCTGACCGTTTGACCTAGCTCAAATCCGAAAGCACCTACGTGCAGCTAAAAGACTGGTGCTTGACGTTCTCTCGGGACCAATTCCTCGATTTCCTCACCCAAGCGACGTGGCGATGGTTTGTCCGCCGGGCGCGCGACCGCCGCTCCGCCTGGCTTCGCGCGGCGGCGCCCGGGTGCACCGCTGCCTTTCGAACAGCTTTTCTCAGCAACCGTTGCACTTAGCGAAATTCTGAAAATACCTACATACAGCTGAAACGCCAGCGCTTGACGATTCCTCGGGGCGCATTTTGCGATTTCAGCTCCATTTTCTCGCAATAGTATGGTGGAAGTTGGGAAGAAAACAATGAAAGAAAATAGTAAAATAAAGATAACTGCCTGATTATTTTACTGAACTGTATCGGTGGATGGTGAAACGATTCCTTGATGCATTTGGGTCGTTTGGGCTTCTTTCCGGCATTTCTAAGTGCCGCCGTTTTCAGTGTAGGACTTTGAACGCGCTAAGGCCCTTTCGTTCAATACAAGGGGAAGAAATCTTCCGAAAAATGTGGATGAAAAGCGAGGTTGTAGAGCGCGTCGCGTTCTACCGAGCTCAACAAACCTTTCCTTCAATAAAATTTGTTTTGGTTACTGAAACTGCGAAGTAGGAATTGCGCGTTGTAAACATCTGAGCCGGCCGCTCGGCCGGGCTCCGAAGCGGCAGGCATGCAGTACCGTTCTCGCACTAATGCGTTTACAAAGGGAGCGAGAGAGACAACACCCTGCCTCCAGATGCGGCCGAGGACGAGAGTGGAGGGGGGAGCAGTGGAGCAGCGCGGCGGCGGGCGGCGCGCCGCCAGCGCGCAGGCTGCAGGGGTTCATTCCAGGGCGATTTTACAGGCTCAGGGTGGTCGCACAAAAAAAGAGAAAACGGCTTCTTACGGGGGAAGGTTGGCCGCACAGGGTTCATAAGAGGCAAATTTTCGCTAGGACGGTGTTCCAACAAACGCGGGCGAGTTGATTGAAAATTGAACGCAGGTGCGACCCAAAAGTTTGCCTTTAACGCCCTAGATCGGGTGGAAGGAAACTTGTTTTGGAAAATGTGCAACTGCTATTTTGTTCCGCGTTCTTTTCTGCTTAATTTGAGTCCTCGTCCGCAACGATCGGATCAAAACTGCGGTCTCTGCGGCTCGGAAACCAAAACGGTGCACTTACGCCCTTTGTGTTCAATTTGCCAAAAAGTCTCAAGGGCTAGAACGTGGAACAAAAAATTACGTTATTCAGCGCATCGAGATCTACCAGTACACCAAATTTCAGCTTACTACAATTTTGTGTAAGGTCATAACGCTTTATTTTCTTGGTTTCCTGGACTAAAAGGACAGCGGGGAGCGCTCGCGCTAGTTTCTCAAGCAGTCGAGTTCGAGAGGAGGGGGCTTCTTACCGCCATCCCTTCGGAAGCGGTCGGCCCCGCCCCAGTCCCGGACCGGCGGCGTCCCGGCGGCGTCCCAGTGCCCTACAAGACCCCCGCACGCCAGCCCGCCGGCACGCCCCAGTGCGCCGCGCTGCACAGTGGGCCAGAAGAACGGCGGAGGCGGCCAAAATCCCGGACGCGTTCTGAGCTCTAGCGTCGCCGCCTCCACCGTTCCTCTGCCCCACTGTGCAGTGCGGTGGCACTCTGCCTCATTGTGCCGTTTGATGGATGCGGACGTTGTTTTTGTTTTTGTTTGTCCTGCATTCCCGCGGCAGCAATCTCGACAGCCGGACCTTATACGTCCGCACTGGCCGCGGCGCGGCATTTTTGAAACCATGCAGGGCGGCATTCGCAGACCACATTCCCTGCCCCCTCCCCGGCACTCCGCCCTCTCCGGTGCGTTCCAGCGTGCATGCCAGGGAAGCCACCCCCGAGCCCTCCCCGCCGTCGTCTCCAGCCGTGTCTCGCCGTGCCGAATGGAGGCACCGCCAAGCAGCACCAAGCAGCGCTCGTCAAAGAAACGTGTACCCCCTCCAATCTTTTCATCCTTGCCAGACAGCAGAGCTTGTGACGCAGGCGCACCACACACACACACACACACACACACACACACACACACACACACACACACACACACACACACACACACACACACACACACACACACACACACAGAGTGACACCAACCTTACTGCCGTACCCGTCAGCGATGACTTAAGAGGAGGTTCTTTCGAGGTTCTTACTAACTGCAATCGAATTGGATCCCGTTCCTATTCGGACGGAGCGTTGTTTTTAATGTCAACAATGCTAATTTAAACAAAAACAACGAAAAAAGTATGAGTTTATTGTTTTTGTGCGCGAGATTTATGAACGGTCACGTACTCACTCCCGAAAAGAAAATATCTTTATGCTGCCTACTAATAATCCCAAAAGTGTGTGTGTCTGTCTGTCTGTTTTGTGTGTATTGTATACAGACCAGTGCAAGCAACAGAAGAGCAAGCAAAATATAATCCGTACGATGAAACTTTTTTTTTTATGTTTGTCTGTAAAGCAATAACAGAAAAGGGAAAGTGTGTAGGCTCGCTCCGAGTCACGCGCACGCACCCTCCCTCAACACACACATACAGAGAGAGAGAGAGAGAGAGAGAGAGAGAGAGAGAGAGAGAGAGAGAGAGAGAGAGAGAGAGAGAGAGAGAGAGAGAGAGAGAGAGAGAGAGGTGGGTGTTTTTCGTGCGGCACTAGCGCTGGCCAGGCAGTGGCCCCGTCCCATCACTTTCAAGTCGGCTGGTTCCAAACGGCACATCCGTCGTTCCGTCTCTCTCGCTCTCTCGGGGCGGTCCGCGTTTCCTCCTTGAGTTTCAATCCCGCTGCCTGCCGCTTCCCGCCGAGGAAGCGCGGCGTGATGGTCTCGACTCGAGCGGTCTCAACCCTTTAAAACACGTGGAGTGCCGGAGCGGGGCGGGGCGCTGCGGAGCACAGCACGGAGAGAGAGAGAGGGGGGGGGGGGAGACTTGATGAAAGTACTTGCACGTATCTCCGCGTCGGTGAAAGGACTGACGGAGTCGGTTAAAAATGGCTATGTAATCCCAAAGTAAGCACCGTTTCTACACGTTTTTTGAGCGGCCCGTTCGTAGAGCCACCGGGAGCGAGCCCCCGCCCAGCTTTGGTTCCCCTCCGGCTACCTTTCTATATGTGACTCTGCGTCTGCCAAAAGCACTGTGGGCCTGGGCCTGGCTGGAGGCTGTTTCCAGTGCGTGGCACAGCGTGGCACTGCGTGGCAGCAGAGCCAAAATGGTGTGAACGGCCCATTACAGTGAGGGAGCTAATCTGGTCGCTCTGGCCGCCATGGCGGAGGCCCTGCCCAGGCCATGCCCAGCCCAGCCAGGCTCAGTCCAGCCGAGCAGAAATTTTGGGGCGAGAGAGGCCGCCAATGGGGCTGTGTCCAGCGCGACCACCCTCACCAGCGGCGGCTGGCAAGACTAAGTGTGAGAGAGTGTTCAGCAAAGTTTGCAGTGTACTTAGAGACACTTTCCTGAGCCGAACACTTACTGACGAGCACTCGCCCAGGAGAGTGTACTCAGCCTGTGAGGAATCGGCTGCGTGATCTCTGTCTGTCTGTCTGTCGGTCTGTCTGTCTGCCCATGGCCTGACCACATTCTCCCTCTGTGTGTTCCAGATAGCAACTTCGTGCTGGGCAACGCCCAGGTGTCCAATGTGCACCCGATTGTCTACTGCTCCGATGGCTTCTGCGAACTCACGGGCTTCGCCCGCGCCCAGATCATGCAGAAGGGATGCGCCTGCAAGTTCCTGTACGGCCCGGAGACGCGGGAGGAGGACAAGGTGGCCATCGACAAGTCCCTGGAACTCAAGACTGAGCTTAAGCTGGAGGTGGTCTTCTACAAGAAGAACGGTAAGCCGTTTTGGGGTTGACAGGACCCCCACAGTGGGCAGGAAGACCGGTGGAGGTCCACACGCGTTTCGAGCTCCAGAGTCGCTAAATGGGACCCGAACCGAGCGTGTGACCCCACCAATGGATTCCTCGTTCGGAGAGCAATCCATTGGTGGGGTCACACGTTCGGTTCGAGTCCCATTTAGCGACTCTGGAGCTCAAAACGCGTCTAGAGTTTCGGCCGCCTCCACCGGTCTTCCGGCCCACTGTGCGAGGCCTCCGTCCCGCCAGGCCAGGCCGTCGCGGGTGGCTGCTTTGCCTCGTGCTTCGCCTCGTGCTTTGCCGTGCCGCGGCGCGCTGCCTGCTCTGCGCGCTCCGTCGTCCGCACCGCCGCGCCTCGCCGCGCCTCGCGTTACCGAGATGACGGCGTGCTGCTCGTTTGCCGCGGTTTGGCGCTGTCGCCACGCCGTCGCCACGCCGTCGCCACGCCTCCGCGGCCTGCAGCACGCCGCGCCTCCCCACCCCTCGGCTTGCCCACCACCCTGGTGGCCTTGCTCGCCGTGCCTCCGGCAGCACACCGTGAAAAGCGGTCTGCATGGAAAGTTGTGATGGCGGTCTAGTCCTTGAGGGGCAGCGTGTGTGCTGTTTGCCGCGGCGGGCGCGGTGGCCTCGGCTCGCCTCGGCGGCCCGATTCGCGTCGTCTCCCTCGTCCTCCTCGTCCTCCCCCTCCCCCTTGTGTGCCTTCTTCGCGTCTGAAACTACTTTAGCAGGCAGAGCCCGGCAGAGCCCCGCGGCTCAGGTGCTCCGGCATAGTGGGGCTGTATTCATACGACCCGCCGTCCGTCGCGCCGCGCGGCGCCGCCCCCGTTTTGACGCCCCCCACCCCCCTTCGTTACCTTCCACAAGCAGGCTCCCGCACATTTATACCCTCCAGGGACCTTGTTGGTGTGAGTGGGCGAGAGGGCCGCGCGGAGCTACAGCAGAGCACTCCTTGAGGGCCTGTCTATTCCCCGCTTACACGAAGACACGCGAAACATGCGCATTCACACACACACACACACCCACTCACTCACTGCACGTACCTCCACCACACACACACACACACGCACAGAAACACACACACGCTCGCGCGCCCCCACATAAAGTGTGTACGCAAAGTATAAACCACGCATTCTCGTTGTTTTAACAAAGTGCGTGTTCATCACTGTGACGTGACTTTGTTTCCGTCAGTCAAGTGGGCGCCCTGCCACGCCACGCCGCCCCCGCGAGAGAGGGGGGAAAGTCAGTGGTGGCTCGTGACGTGAGTGAACGCGGCCGCGCCGTCACCGAGGTGGCCAGCCCGCAGGGGTTGCCCCGGCCGTTGCGCCCCCCCCCCCCCCCCCCCCCGCCCCCGCGCATCCAAGAGTTGTGCGCGCGAAACGCCACGCCACGCGATACTCCGGGACAACTTTCCGGCTACGCCACTGGCCGCGAGTGCGGTGGCGCCGGTGGCGTGGGGGAGGGGGCCACGGGGGGGGGGAACAGATTCGCGGAGCCCCGTCTAGCTGCGCGACCGCCGCGGGGACTGCCGGCCGGGGAAAAGGGGGCGGGGCGACGACGGAAGGGGAGCATGGAAATCTGTTGGAGCGTTCACCTAGCAAAATGGGGTTTGTCGGGAAGCCTTCGTCTCGCTTCCAGCTTGCTTCCAGCGCACAGTGGGCCAGAAGAACGGTGGGGGTGGTCCGAATCCCGGACGCGTTTGCGAGCTTCGGAGTCGCAAAATGGGGCTCGAACCGAACGTGTGACCCCACCAATGGATAGCTCTCCGAACGAGGAATCGATTGATGGGGTCACACGTTCGGTTCGAGTCCCATTTGGCGACTCTGGAGCTCAAAACGCGTCTAGAGTTTTGGCCGCCTCCACCGTTCCTCTGGCCCACTGCGCTTCGCCTTGCACAGGCCATGTCGCGGCACCAGAAAAGGGGGTATTTTCCGAAGGAACCTCCGGAAGCAGAGCGGCACGCTGCGCTGATACCAGGCCTCGCGGTGCAGCCTGAGCCGCGACGGCGTGTTTGTGGGGCCAGATTCGTGGGCCGGGCCGCGCCGCGCGGTGTGATAGATTCCACATGTTCTCATGAATACCGGGCGGTCGGCGCCGTGCCGCGCCACGCCGCTCCCCAAACTTATCGTTATCATCGCTCTCTGTCTGACGAAAGTACACTCCATTTGCCCGGCCATTTTCGAAAGCGACTATACTTTGACCGGCCGTACATCGGCCCTTGTGTGAACAGTCCACCGTCGGGCGCGCTCCGGGCCGGGTTGTCCTTGGTCAGGGCCTCCAGCCAACGGCGTGGACGTAGGTGGTAGTTTACTTTTTCAATAAGTTTGCCCCGACAAAACGATTTCTCGGCTGGGGAAAGTTCGCGGGACGACACGACACTGCGCTTTATTCTGGTCCCTCGACGGAAAGGCTGCTGACAGGGTATAACAAGTCCCCCCTGATTCCGAAGAGTGGCTTCGTCTTCGCTCTGCCTCTCTCGCGCCCCACGCGGCCCCACGCCGTTGCGGCCCAGCGCGTGAAAACGCGGAAACTTGCAGCAATGCCCGTCACGGCGCGGCTACCGGCGGCCACGGCTGTAATGAGTGCAACAAAGACAACCGAGGCCCGCGGCGGCCCGGCAAGCCGTGTAAAGTTGGCGGTATTGAAAAAGTTTGCGAAAAAGCAGCTTCGGCGCGGAGCGTGGCGCGCGGACAGCCCCCGGGCAGCCGCGTGGCGGCCGTGGAGGTCACCGACGACGACGCCGAGCTTGGCGGCTGCGTTTTAAATCCCGGCGCACCGTGTTAGCCTGATCCTGCTGAACAGCGCTCTCTGTCTCTCGGACGGGGCGCCCCGGGCGTGCGAGAGAGACGGAGGCAGGTGACGCCAGTGCGCTATCAGACACTATCCGGTAATGGCCGAGGCATTGGATCCGTCACCCTGATAGCACCGCCTGCAGGGCCCGCCCCGCCCCGCCTGCTATTTCCGCACAGCTTTCGAGGGGAAAAGAGATGAGTGGGATTCTTTGTTTGCCAGTGGCTAACGTTATTCCAGGACGACTTTATCTCTGTTTGCGTTTCATTTATTGACGACTGTTATATCGCAGAGCAACCAGCGTAGCTGGAGTAATCACGTAAGGCAAAACAAATAAATTACAAATGGCTGGGTACAAAAATTAAAATAGTGTCGGAGAGCGCCGACAGCGAAGACTACAGCACGGCGTCTTCAAAGACGCGGGCCGTGGTTCGCGGCCCACGGCGCCGGGTGGCGGGGGCTGGGGATCCTCACGCAGGTGCACAGCTTGTAGTGGTTGCAGAAGCCCCCGCTGAAGCCCAGCATCACCTCGCACGCCTTGTTGCACGCGTGGTCGTCGCAGGACACGCCCTTGGGCGGAGGGCTCTCGAAGCTGTCGTTCTCGTCGTCGTCGTCGTCCTGGCTGGAGTCCTGGTTGACGGCGTCCTGGCCGACCTGGCCGACCTGGCCGACGCCCTCCTCCTTCAGCGCTGCGAAGGACACGAAAGGTTCATGACAGCCGCGTGGACGACCGTACCCACAGAGGACCAGACGACCGGTGGAGGCGGCCAAAATCCTAGACTTGTTTTCAGCTCCAGAGTCGCTCGACAGGACTCGAACAGAACGTGTGACCCCACCAATGGATTCCTCGTTTGGAGAGCAATCCATTGGTAGGGTCACATGTTCGGTTCGAGTCGTATTTAGCGACTGTGGAGCTCAAAACGAGTCTAGAATTTTTGCCGCCTCCACCGGTCTTCTAGCCCACTGAGGTACGCCAGTGTGAACTCCCAAGTAAACTTTATTCAAAGTGTACTTCCAAGTCAACTTTTTTTCACAGAGGCACTTCCTAGTACTCTTTGCGCAGAGTATACTCGGTGGATCCCGTAGTGAGGCCGAGTGAGGCCGGTGGCAGGGTGGAGCCGGTGGCAGTCCTGCGATCGCTTTGAAGCCCTCCCCTCCCTCGTCGAGAGCCGCGATTTGCACGCACGACGGCGCACCGTCACCGAGGCTTACAAGGGACGGCAGCGTCCCACACCTGACGCGCTTTGGACGCAACTTTGCCGTCAGACCCCCCATTGTTCTCCTGCCTCCAGGCGACGCGACCGAACCCTGACGCGTTTTGAGCTCCAGAGTCGCTAAACAGGACTCGAACCGAGCGTGTGACCCCACCAATGGATTCCTCGTTCGGAGAGCAATCCATTGGTGGGGTCACACGTTCGGTTCGAGTCCCATTTAGCTACTGTGGAGCTCGAAACGCGTCTAGAGTTTTGTCCGCCTCCACTGGTCTTCTGGCCCACTGTGCGGCGCGCACTCACCTTGGAAAATCCTGTCCAGGATGTCGGCGTCGGAGTCCTGCTGGGGGAGGCGAGGACCGGCGGCGACCCCGAACGGGCCGCCGTCGTCGGCCTCCTTGGCGAAGTCCAGGAAGGGCGGTGCGGCCGCGGCCGCGGCCACCAGGACGAGCACGGCGATGACGGTGTTCATGGCGCTGCTGCTGCGGACTGTGCGCCGGCCGCGCCGCGCCGACACTTTATAGGGGTGGCCGCGCCGCGCCTTATCGGTGTGATAGCAAACAATCGGGCCTTCGGGCCTTCAGCCGCCCACCTGACTGACGGGCTTATTCATTAAATTTGTCATGCAGGCTTCCAGGAGGCTTTGGCCGTGCAGCCGGATTACGTTGACAGTGATTCACTCGCAGCGCAGTGGGCCAGAGGACCGGTGGCGGCGGCCAAAATTCTTGACGCGTTTGTATCCCCAGAGTCGCTAAATGGGACTCGAATCGAACGTGTGACCCCACCAATGGATTGCTCTCCGAACTAGGAATCCATTGGTGGGGTCACGCGCTCGGTTCGAGTCCCGTTTAGCGACTCTGGAGCTCAAAACGCGTCCAGGGTTTTGTCCGCCTCCGCCGGTCGTCTGGCCCACTGTGCGTTAGGGAGGCTATTTCGTCCCGACGCCCGCCTCGGCCTCTTCTCTGGGTGCTAAGAGGAAAAGTGCCGCGATAGTCATCGCGGGCTCAGCCCTGCTCTGCGCGAAGTGTACATCGCCGATAAGGATTTCGACTGAGGAGCAGTTCCGAGTCGCACGCCCAGATGAATCACAAAGCAGGAGGCAAAAAACAGCGGGCTGCACTGGAAAAAAAATTCTCAATTCGAGGGCATGTGCCTACTCACATCGATGCAGTGCTATCGACTTGTCCTCGAGCATCTATCAATGTCAGACTCGGGTTGAGAATTTTTTTTCAAAAGTGCTTGACTGACTATGTTGTTGTTGTTTTTGATTTGCGGTGTACCGCCCACTGCGACCGGCACGCGTCGCTCACCGACTAGCCATAGCAGAGCCCTGGAATTTCTTGGTTGAATCGGCGAGCGATTGTGTCCCAGACGAGGCGGGGCTCCGGCGCGGGGCTCGGCGCGGGGCCAGCCGACGCCCCCGGGCCTGATAGCTCCCCGGAGGAGACAACGGACCGGGGAGAAACTTTGCCGCCTTCTCGGTACCAACTGTCCCTGTGCCTCTCCCCGGAGCCCTGCCCGTCCTCCTGTCCGCCCCGCCCGCCCCGCCCGCCCTGCCAGCGGAGAGCGCCTGCGGAGTAGGCCCTCCCGTAGAGCATGCAAGTGGTCGTGTTGCCTACCGCACGGGCGCTCGACCCTCCCGCATGGAGGCCTCGAGTGCAGTGTGTGTGTGTGTGGCCGTCCGAGCCCCAGCAGGGTAGGCAACCCACGAGACACTATCTTCGCTTTCGCTCGGTCCGGCGCGGCGGCGCTGGCTGCCCCGCAGTTCGCCCTACTTAATGCTTTGCTTTGCCCCGCTTCAACCTATCTCGCCTCTCCATTTCACTTTCTTTCCTCTTTTTCCTCCTCCGGCCCCGCCTCCCCGCCTGACCCCCTCCGGGTGGTTTCGGTCTATCGAAGGTGCGCACGAGCGTCAAGTCAGGGGGACAAGGTTGGGAGCGGGGCGCGGTGGGTGCGGAGCGTGCGGAGCGACAGACGGTTTCTCCGGGTGAATACGCAGGGACCTCGCCAATCGAGTGAATGCTTCTTCTTCTTCTTCTTCTTCTTCTTCTTCTTCTTCTTCTTCTTCTTCTTCTCTTCTTCTTCTTCTTCTTCTTCTTCTTCTTCGCTGCTGTTTTTAACAGACCGCACCTCGCGCGGTATTATTACCGAAATGCATCTCTCTTCGTTCATTTCCCTCCGCTTCCCCTCCCCTCCCACCAGAGAGAGAGAGAGAGAGAGAGAGAGAGATGGGGCGGTTGGAGAACGGTGTGGCCATTAAATTTCCCCGAATCATTCCACTGTGATTCATACCCCGAGCTCATCTCTGCAGCGTCAGACTTTCGGACAGCGCCGCATAGAAATAATTTTGAAATAATATACCGCAAGCCTCGGCGGCTGCTCCCCCTTCCCCCACCACTCCCTCCGTGTCACTCTTTGAGAATCGGGCGTTATATCGCAGGGAGGGGAACCTTAATGAAAACCTCAAACGTAAGCAATATTTTTTTTTGGGTCGACGGTTTCGACAAGGTTTTTATTATTTCACTATTTTCCTTAGCCCTGAAAACATAAAAAATATGAGGTTCGAGACTGGTCTACGAGAAGCACGTGCAGAGCTGGTAGGTGTTGCAGAAGCCTCCGCGGTACGACGGCAGGCGTTGGCACGCCGCGCGACACTCGCTCGCCACGCACATGACGGCGTTGCCGATGTCGATGTCTGCAAACAAACGGACGCACACTGTCAAAAAAACTGTCGTCACTTGGAGGAAAACAAACCTTGGTTTACGTTCCGATCACTGGAAAAGGTTGACAAAGTCGTCACAAAAGTGATGAAATTTCGGAAGCTTCTGCAAGTTTTGTGTATGGGCTTGATGGACAACAATGTCATCAACAAATTAAGGACATTCTTGTACGAAAAATGAGCCTTGACATTGTCACGACGCGGCGACCAAAAGCTTGACAGTGCAGGCTCGCGGGCCAGGGCAACGCGTTGCATGCTGTTTGGCAAACAGTGTGACGACAAAGGGCCGGCGGAAAGGAGGGACTCATCAGTGGCCCTGCAGTGTGCTGGCCGCTGTCAACAAGACAACAAACGCATAGCGGAGTGCAGCACCGCCACCCAGCGGACCGTTCCGGCCGTCGCGCTGTCTCTCTCGCACTCCCCACCTCACCCCGTGAGTGCGAGAGAGACAGAGCGACGAGCCTTCGGAATCAGGTGGCGGCCCACTGCAGAATCAAAGGCCTGTTTGCCTTATCGGGCGCAGATTGGGTGCGGTTCTCGAAACGCGGCCAGGGTCCGGCTCGGCGGAATGATTCCCAGAGTCTCTCTGTCTCTCTCGCACTCACGGGTCGTCTCATATAGGTGCGAGTCTGCAGTACCTTATTAGTCCCGATGAGGACCGTGTGTAGCCGATCCACTGTGACATGGTATTCTAACGAACGTAGCGTTTCAGTGAGAGTTTTATGAGGGCTCTTTCTTTAACACTTCCCGTTAGAAACGACGAAAACTTTTGCAGTGGGCTCTGGGTTTTTGGACTCACCAAAGACTTGCAGGGGGTCGGCGGGCCTGGCGGCGGCCGGGGCCGCCCACACTGCCAGCAGCACGGCGACGACGCAGAAGTACGAGGAGTGCATCTTGGAGCGTTGCTGCCGGCCCAGGGTCACGACGGCGACTGGCCTCAGTGCGGCACTCTGAGTGCTCGGCCGGGTGGCTCCTCGGCTGCGTCCGGAACCTCCCTCTGCTGCCGGACAGACAGGCCGCACGGCGTGGCTGTGTCCGAAGCTCGGCTCTCCATGCGAGGGTCACAGTGAGGCCATCTCGGCCCGACAATAACAAGCATATCGGGACGGATGGGTTATTGGTTCGGAAAGCGGGTCATTGCCACGCCCAGAGTGCGTCTGGCTTCCACCCGTAGAGTGATTCACCGGCAGGCGCGCTACACTAGGTTTCGAAGAAGAAATGTTTGTTCATCAGCTGCACTTTTTACCGTGCGAATACCACCTACGGGTTGCTTTGGTGTACATTCCGGATCCCCAATTCGCGCAGCCAAGCCCGCGAGAAAAATGAGGGTTTTCGAACACGAGTCTGTCGGCCAGAATACGATGCATGTCTGACGACACTTCAGAGATTTTTGTCTCATCTGGCCGGCCAACCGACGGGTCTGAACGTGTCGATGACGGTTTTATCTCGTTTTCCGAGATATCGGATGCGTCTCGACTTTTATCGCAGCGAGGCGCTTTGCGGATTGCCGGTAACTCTTATCGTAATGAGTGAATCACTTTCCCCATTCACGTTGAATGGGACGGTTTGATAATTTGACAGTGAGGAAAATAACCAGAACGGCAATATCCCAGACCAGTGATTTAAAGCTGAGAGGAACATGATTTCTCTTTGTATCTTCCAGTGTAAAATTCTATTCTATTTCTAACTCACAAGAAAACTTGTGTTTGTAAGCAACAGTGTAGGGCAGGCCGTTGCGAATCGAAGCCGCTTCTTTTCTGAATGTGCGACACTTCTTGAGCGACAATGCAGAGGCTGGGTCACCTACTCCGTTGTGCCGACAGCGCATTGAAAACGCGCGGACAAAAAAACGATCGGCGCTGTGGAGATTAGCGGGAGAGGTGGATGAACTTTGAATGAAGGCAGCGGCGGCGCTCGGCTCGCTCGGCTCGGGCCAATAAACCGGCTCACCCTCCTGGCCAGAGATAGATCTCTCGCTCTGACTCCCCACGCTCCCTTCATACTTCTCGCATTGCCTTTGTACTCCACTACCACCATTTCTACCTTGACCTCATCCTTCCTACCTTGACCTCATACTCCCTCCGTTGACCTCATACTACCTCCGTTGACCTCATACTCCCTTCGTTGATCTCACACTCCCCAACTTAACCCCATACCACCTTCATCCTCCTCACGTTGGGCTTCATACTCCTTTCGCAACAACTCCCACAAGTCCGTGCCCTTCGACGCCCTGCCCTCTGCACTCCCTTCGTACTCCACATACTCCGCGCCACATGGCGCACCTGCCGCAAATGAATATCCCAGTGTGCGGGCTCGCGGTGCCGGCCGCTTCGGACGCATTATTTAGTTGTTTGTTATTGTTTGGCCCCTGATCCATAATGCAGCGCGCGCGTAAAGTACGTTCGCACTTATGGGCCGCGTTACCATGGCGACGCCTTGTGGACGCCCTTGGAGTGAACAGTGTGGGCGCAAAAAAGGTGATGTCGGTCGGTGTGAGATTATTGAGTGTGTGCCGTCCTCACGCGCCCCCTATCGACCTGTCGTTCTACCTGTCTGTCTGTCTGTCTGCCTGTCTGTCTGTCTGTCTGTTTGTCTGTTTGTCTGCCTGTCTGTCTGTCTGTCTGTCTGTCTGTCTGCCTGTCTGTCTGTCTGTCTGTCTGTCTGCTGCTGTCTGTCTGTCTGTCTGTCTGTCCGTCTGTCCGTCTCTCTGTTATTCCCGAAGGAAGCCCGTGGAAATCCTGGCAGCAGGTTGCGTCTAAATTTCACTGGATCAACCAACGAAATAGGGTCGGGTCGGTCCCGGAAAAGATGAGGCTCTGGCTGAAGCTTGCAGCAATCTAATTGAGTTAGTAAAAAGCGGGGCGGTTCGGCGGGCCTTATTAGCAGAAAGCACACTGCCAAAACGGGCAAAAACCGGCGGTGGCGGTCAAAATCCCGGACGCGTTTTGAGCTCCAGAGTCGCTAAATGGGACTCGAACCCAACGTGTGACCCCCACCAATGGATTGCTCTCCGAACGAGGAATCCGTTAGTGGGGTCACACGGTCCGTTCGAGCCCCATTTAGCGACTCTGGAGCTGAAAACGCGTCCGGGATTCTGACCGCCGCCACCGGTCTTCTGGCCCACTGTGCGTCCGTTTCCGAACAACGCGCTCATGACGCGGCGATCGTAAAAAACGTAATGCGACGTCCACCTGGCCGGGCCGCGTTGCCGCGTTTCCAAGGCACGCTGATTTAAAACGCAGTCACAGCGCCTCCCCACCCCCTCGGCAAAAAAGTAAGCTTTGTGTGTAATATCCATAACGGCCCCATCCTTGCCTCTCGCTCCACGTCGCCGCGGAATGTGGTTTACGGTGCAGTAAATGCGGACATTGTGGGAAGGCGGTGCCGAAAATTGGCGCCAAATGAAAATACGGCTCCGCTACACTGTTCGGTCCCTGAAAAAAACATGCAAATGAACTCTAAATTTGCCTCCGCAAAGTCCATATTTTTCGTCTTCCGACCAAATTTTTTAATCAGGTTATTTTTTTTCGCAGGGTCCCGCTTCTGGTGCCTGCTGGACATCGTGCCCATCAAGAACGAGAAGCGCGAGGTGGTGCTGTTCCTCGCCAGCCACAAGGATATCACGCACACCAAGGTGCAGCAGCCGCAGACCTCGGACGACGAGGACGACGACTGCGAGAACGGTGAGCCCGGCCTCGCACAGTGGGCCAGAAGACCGGTGGAGGCGGTCCAAACTCCAGACGCGTTTTGAGCTCCAGAGTCGCTACACAGGCCCCGAACCGAACGTGTGACCCCACCAATGGATTCCTCGTTCGGAGAGCAATCCATTGGTGGGGTCACACGTTCGGTTCGAGTCCCATTTAGCGACTCTGGAGCTCAAAACGCGTCGAGAGTTTTGTCCGCCTCCACCGGTCTTCTGGCCCACTGTGCGTAGCCTCCGCGCCATCCACTTTGAAGGCAATAACCTTGTTGTGGGTCAGGATCGCTTTTGCGGCCATGATCCGCGCGGGGGAGGGGGAGGGGGGTGATAATCACTCTAGAAGCAACGCGCCGTCTCCCGGCGAGGAAGGGAACTGCTATTATTAGTCGTGATGGTTATAACGCGTCTTGCGCGAAACGGAGCGGGAAGTTTGTGCTGGCAAACCTCCCTCACTTTGAGGTTAATTTGAAGCCAGTTAACCGTGACTTCAGTCGGAGGAATCCGGGCGGAGAGTAGCCGGGGCACTATCAAGATTGTTAATTTTTTTCTTCCAGATGCCAACGGCAACCTGGATCCGGAGGCTCCACCGGCCAACTACGAGAGACGGCGGTCGAGAGCCGTGCTGTACCAACTGTCCGGGCACTACAAGCAGGACAAGATCAAGTCCAAAATCAAGCTCAACAATGTGAGTAACCAGTCCTACCTCCTCGCCTGATCGAGAAACTCCTTTCATCGCAAAAACTTTCGCAATTTAAAAAAAAAATAAAAAAAATTCGTCGTGAAAGTATTGCAAATCGAATGGCAGTGTCCTGCGTTACCGCAGCGCGCCATTGCGGGTTCTTCTTGCCACACCCCTCACGGCTTATGAATATTCACAGCCGCAGTAATTGCCCGGCCGCGTCGCCGCGTGTGACCCCGCGACCCTTTTGTAGTGCAGTAGACTTGGCCGCGGGGCGGGGCGGGGCGGGGCCTCGCTGTGGATCGGCCGCTTTTGTCTCTATCACTGGAGGCTACATTCGACCTCGGCCGTGCGTTCTTCTTCTTCTTTTTCTTCTTGCCCTCTCCCATTCCCCATCCGCGAGTTACAATCGTTGTGTACTCCGACGGGGCACAAGAGGAGTCCTTCACTTACCCCCCACCCCCTCCTCCTCCTCTAGCAGGACAATTCAAGGAACTAGGCCTATTGTACCGAGTGGAAAGGGCTGGGGCGCCGTCGTGGGGGCGCGCGGGCGGTCATCAGATAAAGGTGTGCCGGTTCGATTTAGTGAGTCGGCGAGAGAAAAATAAGGCCACAACGAAACGCACAAATCAAGGAGCGAGAAACGCTGACTTCGGCTGGCGAGATTCGCAAAGCGACTCCAATTACAGTGTGGGACACGGTGCGGTCGCCGCGTCGCCGGCACTGATAGTGCTTTCTCAAGGGATTGCATCGATCTCCCGGGTCGTCCTCCCCCGGCAGCACTGTCGCTGTCTCTCTCGCACCCCACAGGACACCCCTGGGAGTGCGAGGGAGACACCGAGGGTTTGGAATCAGCCCTCAGCAGCAGCTGGTGTCTCAGAACGCCTCGCCTTGGCGGCGCACAGTGGGCCAGAAGACCGGTGGAGGCGGCCAGAACTCCGGACGCGTTTTGAGCTCCAGAGTCGCTAAACAGGACTCGAACCGACCGTGTGACCCCACCAATGGACTGCTCTCCGAACGAGGAATCCATTGGTGGGGTCACACGTACGGTTCGAGTCCCATTTAGCGACTCTGGGCCGCCTCCGCCGGTCTTCTGGCCCACTGTGCGGCGCCAAGGCCAGGTGGTGGCGGCGTCCCGGGGACGGAAAGGCTGAAAGTCAGCTCATCCCGCAAAGCTGTTATAAGGGAACACCTGGCCGGGCGTCCATTCCGGCCCACTAGCCCTGCCTTGCCGCCTGGCTGGCTGCCTGCCCGCCTGCCTGCCAGCCCGCCCTGCTCGACCGCATATCGACCTCACTGTCGTGTGATTTGGCGTGGATCAAACTGCCGGGGGCCCGGCTGCCGGGGTGCCGTCTACCCTCCAAAACACACACAAACATTTTTTCGGAAAAACGTTTTGCGCAATTACCTTGTGGGTGTGGGAAATCCCCGCTGGCGAGACTTTGAGAGTGTGGGCGCCACACGCTAGGTGCGCCTGCCCTCTGGCCGCCCACCTCTCGGCTTCCGATCGGGCCGACAAAGAAGGCCATGAGCTTCTTCCTCGTGGGGCCGAGGCGCGCTGAACAGCTGCTACACCGCCAAGGCCAGCCCTCGGCCCGTCGGCCGGTCTGCTTTCGGGGGAAAAGAAGAAAGTTTCGTGGAGGGAAAAAAAATTGGGATGCGAATTGGTGGCGGTGATGGGGTCCCGCCACCAAGCAGGGAGAGTACCACCGCAGGCTGGGGAGTCGTTTTCGTCGCTCTGTCTCTCTCGCACCTACGCGGGAGGCCCCATGAGAGCGAGAGAGACAGAGCGACTCTCCGGCCGGAGTCAGTGGAAGCAGAGCGGAAAGAAGAGCGCACGGATCCGAAGGAGTCCGTCTGTTTCGCAGTGTAAGCATCGTGCAGGGTAATAGCGCACCCCGCTCGGCCCCGCTCACACTAATGACGAGGGACTTACGACCTAATGGAAAGAAAAATGTTTCTCGGAATGGAGGCGCTCTCGCCGGCGGACGGATGCGGGGCGACGTCGGGGCGCGTCGTGGCGACCCGGAACAACCCCCCCACTGCCGCATGCACGCGAAAGCGTCTCTCTCTCTCTCTCTCTCTCTCTCTCTCTCTCTCTCTCTCTCTCTCTCTCTCTCTCTCTCTCTCTCTCTCTCTCTCTCTCTCTCTCTCTCTCTCTCCCTCCCGCACGTGCACGTCGCACACGAGAAGCTTTTAAGCAGAAAGGCGGGGGCGTTTGCGTGACACACGCGTGTAGGTAGATTTCCGAGTCAGTGCCCGAGCGCTACCCCTTTTATGCTTTCGTTCCTGCCCCACTTTTTACCCCCCTCCCCCCCCCCGCTCCTTCCCGCATCCCGGCGCCGTCTCTAAGCGGGGGCAGAGCGGGCAGAGCTTAGCTGGCTGTCACTCAACCGCGCCCCGCCGCCCCGCGCCGCCCCGCGCCGCCCCGCCACGTCGGCGGCGTGGCTCGCCGCTCCGCCGCCCCGCCCCCGCCGCCCCAACCCCCGGGGCGAGCTGGGCGCGCCGGCGTCGACACCCCGGGGTTTAAATACACAATACTCGCGCCGCGCTCTGCTTCGACTGCTCTGCTGGCTGGAGGGCCCGGGTTCGAACCCCCTCAGAGTATTCTTCTCGAGCGGTCTGCGTTTTCTCTGCACTAGCTAGCATGGGGTCTCGATGGCGGCAACGCAGCAGCGACAATATTGTTGCCGTTTTCACGGTCGAACACAAAGTGGAAGATCCACGCGTGTGCTGCGGCCGCTGCCTTTGGCCGCGGGGAGGGTTGTCCGCACCAGGAAGCGAATGCCCTTTCTCATCTCCGCACAGCGAACGCGGAGCTCTCCACTTTGAGCTCCAGAGTCGCTGAATGGGACTCGAACCGAACGTGTGACCCCACCAATGGATTGCTCTCCGAACGAGGAGCCCACTGGTGGGGTCGCACGTTCGGTTCGAGTCCCGTTTAGCGACGCTGGAGCTCAAAACGCGTCTTTCGGCCGCCTCCGCCGTGACGTCACATTCCGGGTTGTAACGCCTCTTCGGCCCGGCACGTGCACACGTGGCGGTTGGGGCACAATGCCTACGCTTTCTCGCGAGGCTGCCGACGCTGGCGACGCTGGCGAGGCGCTTTTAGGCGCACGCCGCGCGACTGCCTGATGGCCCGAGGGGCCCCGCGGTGCGTGCCGCCACTGCGTGGGCGGGGCTCCACACGCGCTGAATAATTGAACGATAGAACGCGACGGCCGTCGTCGGTAAGTAAGTCGCCGCGATTTAAAATGGACCGCTGTACAGTGTGTGCGAACACACGACTCATTGTTGGATTGCTGGAGCCGTGGCTGGAGCCCTCGCGGCCCTCGCTCACATGAATCATTGTTTCCCTCGCTTTTGCACCCCCTGTTGTGACCCTGAACAACCAGGGCCCCGAGGAGAGAGAGAGAGAGAGAGAGAGAGAGAGAGAGAGAGAGAGAGAGAGAGAGAGAGAGAGAGAGAGAGGCGGGGGGCGTAGCTCGACGAACAACCATTCATCATTGAGGATGATTCTGATTGTTTGCACAATTTAGCGAGTTTACCGATTCGCTGCGCACGTGGCGGATTGCGCCCAATGAGCTCAACAAGTCTGGCCGCCTGCCTGTCTGTGTGTGCCTGTCTGTGTGTGTGGCGGTGGACGGGGCCGTGCACGTATACGTATTAAGGCGCAGCTGAGCCCCTCCCTGGGGCCTGGGGAGAAGCGAGGCCCTCGGCCACGGCAGGGACAAGCGTGCATACCGTCGCACAGTGGGCCGGAAGACCGGCGCAGGCGGCCGAAACTCTAGACGCGTTTTGAGCTCCAGAGTCGCTAAACACGACTTGAGCCAAACGTGTGGCCCCATCAAAGGATTGCTCTCCGAAGGAGGAACACCGGCCCACTGTGCGGTGCCAAGAAAACAGTCGCCAGATGCGCCCTTAAAAGTGGGACAAGGGCGCCCCGTTCTATGAGGGAAGTCGTCGTCGCGGAGAAAAAGGAAGAATGTGGGATGCAGGGAGCAGGGAAGCATTGGTTGGCTTGTTTGCCGCTTGTCTACCGCAGAGATGCCGTGTGTGGCCACGGAGCAAACCTCCCCCTCCCCCTCCTTTTCCACAACAACCTCCCCGCCCTCCAATCTTCCTAAAGCTCGGCCGTGTCTCTGGCAGGCTCGCCGCCAGGCCCGCCAGCCAGCCCACAGTCCTTCTCTTTCTTTATGAAACTTTTGCAAATATCCTTTTATCGGTCTCCGCGGGGCCGTGGCGCGGCGTGGCGTGGCGCCGGGCTGTGCTGCGGCTTCCCCATTGTCTCAGTCACCTTTTAGAACTCTGTTCCGACGCGCGCTCATTCCGTTCATTCTCCCTCCTTCTTCCGGCTTTTCTTCAGACTCTGTCTCTCTCGCACCTACAGGGAACGCCCCGTGAGTGCGAGAGAGACAGAGCGACGCAACGACTCTCGGAATCAGTCTTCCGACTTGTGTTTCCCGGAGAGATGGGCCGTCCCCCGGGGTTTCGGAGTTACGGCCGAGCGACCCCTCGCGGGGTAGGCAACCCGTCCCCGCCCCGAACAGGCTGCTGGTGGCAAGGTCTTTGAACCTACACGGGAAAAAAAATCGAGGCTTTTATAATTCATTTTCGGTGTGACCTACATCTTACTTCGCAGTTCGTCCCACCGACGAGAAAGACTCCCCCAGTGCACCGCCGCCGAAGAAACTCGGTCGTAGCCGCGCACATTTCTGGAGAACGCGCGGCAGCGGGGAAGTTATTGCAGTGTTTTGGAGTTTCGAACAGAATCACTTGAGAAAGCACGGAGTCCCCCGTTAACGGGCAGGCCTTGGGGGCCTTGGCTGCGGCGGCGAGGCGTGGCTTTCTGGATCTGGGAGGGACTCCCGCCGGAAGGGTTTCTCGCTGGAAGGGGTTCCCGCTGGAAGGGGTTCCCGCTGGAAGGGGTTCCCGCTGGTAGGGTTTCCCGCTGGTAGGGGTTCCCGCTGAAAGAGGCTCCCGCTGGAAGGGGTTCCCCTGGAGGCCCCCGCTGAAGGCCCTTGTTCTGATTAACCCGCTCCAGCGGCGCGTGACGCGGAGGGGAGGCCGTACAAGCTGCGGCCGCTTAGAGGCCACGCCGCTGCCGCCGCCACTGCATTCCCCCTGACAGGCCAGTGTAACAGGTACAACTATTTCCACTCGCCGGCACCCTGCCCTCGCCTTGCTCGCCCCCCCACCCTTGCCAGTGTGCTGCCAGCGGACGAGTCCACCCCGTTGCCGAACCCGAGCCGAACGCCGCCAGCGTGACGTCATCGCGATGCAGCTTGCCGTCCCATTACGCTTTGTTGTTGTTGTTGCCATTCTGCCTCGTGAAACCAAGTGAAACACGCGCGGGGTCCCGTTGATTTCGTCAAACATCGTCGCTTTTGTGAGGATGCGGGCAGCAGTTTAAGGGCGTCCCCCGTGGCGCCGCTTCCCTGGCTGGCAGTGCTCTGGAGGCTCCGTGGAGCTTCCAGGGGGTGATAATGGGAAGCGCAAAGACTGGGGCCTGCACTGTGAAAGCGCTGGCAGTGTAGGGCCCCGCCCGCCGACTCGACTCGACACGGGCTGGAGGTGCTGACTCGCCGACTCTTCGGCGAGGAACAACCAACCGGAGATGAAGTTAGGCGAAGATGCGCCGTCACGCCACTGTCTTGGCGTGTTCCGCGGCCGGCTTATTGGACAGGCAACGCGCAGCAACGCGTCGTCGCGGCGGAAAGTTGGCGCGTGTGACTCGCAGTGTGGACTCGGAGTGGCGGAGATTCGTGATGAGAAACACGCTTTCCAAAAAGCCAGAACTGCGGAAACATTTTGTGCAGTGTGGTGAATACACGGCGGGGAAAATCGCGTGCGTTTCCCGTGTGGCTTCGCGTGGCTTCGCGTGGCTTCGCGGAAAGCGCGCGCGCGCGCGGTCTCGAGGCCCTCACTGAAAGGAAAACTAGAGGCAAAGACAAGCAAGGCTGTGCAAAGGCAGCGCCGGCAGCGCTCGCAGCGGTCGTGAGTTCAATTACTCCACCAGTGTCCTTGCTGCCCCGCCTCTTGTTGGTCCGCGCGTGCCGTGGGGAGTCGTACCGCCTGGAGTGAGTGCCAGCCGCCGTGCCTCACGGTGGTCTCGCTGTTCATATGGTGGCCACGGGGTCCACACTGTTAAAAAAATTCTTGGGAATTCCCTAGGGACGTGGTGCGGGGAAAAAATTGCCACTGATCTTCGGAAAATTCCTAGACCTCTTTTGTTTCTATTTTGAATGAGTATCCAATCGGTATAGTACAAAAATATTCTTTTTTTAGAACGCACTTTTGAAATTTTTCGTTAAAAATAAAAAGCGGTGCACGACGTCCACCCACGATGGCCACGGTGTTCACGGCGTCCACAGTGGTCCCTGACGTGCCGTTGCCGCTGTTGCAGACGCTGCTGCAGCCCGACAACGCCCCGCTGCCCGAGTACAAGACGGCCGCGCTCAAGAAGTCGCGCTTCGTGCTGTCGCACTACGGCGCCTTCAAGAGCTGCTGGGACTGGCTCATCCTGCTGGCCACCTTCTACGTCGCCATCATCGTGCCCTACAACGCGTCCTTCGTCAACCCGGACCGGCCGTCCATGGTCAGCGACGTGGTCGTCGAGGCGCTCTTCATGATGGGTGAGTTACCCCCACTGGTAAAACTCCAGGCAAACACCAAAACTCATCAAACATGTGAAATTCACTAAAATTCATTCAAATTCATCAAAATTTAGTCGTGTTTGCTTGAAATTCATCAAAATTCATCTGAAATTTATTGAGTTTGTGCACTGAAATTTACAGTGATTTCCCCTTGGGTAAAAGTGTAAAAACTGCCACTGCTTATTAGCTGAGTGTCCTTGTTTCACCTGTTGTATTTTTTTCTGGCTGGGGTGTCGCTCGCATGTCACGCGGTCGGGAAGCTTTCCCTTTTACACTGGAGGTGTACTGTGAATCTCTCTCTTTGCCTCTCTCTCTCTCTCCCACCAGCACACAATGCACGGTGTCATGTGTGTCGTGGAACTGCGGGCCGTTTGCTCCGGTGGTGTGGACACACACACACACACACACACCACTGCAGCAGCATGCACGCCCATTCGGCATCCAGGAGGAGGCCAACAAGTGCGCTATTCCGGTCCCAAGGCCCGAGTCCCCGACCGGGGCACGGACGGCCCGGACGGCCCGGACAGGGCGTCGCTAACGAGAAGCCCCCAGGGCGCCGAAAACAAGGCGCCGCCACTGTATAAGGGGTCGTCCCGCAAAACGTCGTAACGATGCTCGCCCCGTCTCCCTCGCACCCTCACGGCACACGCCACGAGTGCGAGAGAGACGGAGCGAGGGCGGCGGAACCGCTCCACTGCAAGCACGCGCTTCCACAAGCCGTTGCGTTACGCAATTCTTGCACAGTCGCTGCCACACTGCCACGCAGCCATGTGGAGCCTAATTGTTTGTCGTATTGTTTGGCGTGGATGTTGGCTCTGGCGCGGCGTTTGGCGGGGTCACTTCCCCTCATGGCAAACTCGGGCCAGCCGCCCCGCAAACTCCTTCAAGGCCACTCTGGCCACTCCACCGCTCCGGCGTCCACCCGGACTCCAGCGTCCCCAAGGGGGTGGCTCCAGGCCGGGCTGGAGGCCAGGCTCCCGCGGGCTGTGTGGTCAGTCAGAAATATACCCTACTTCTCGGCCCCGGCGCCACGGCCCGCCGAGTGGCTGCGGGCAGTGGGCCATGCTGTTGTCTCAGACAGCCTCGCCTGGCCGCGAAGGCACACTAACCCAGTCTTTTGAAAGAGCCTCCCGTTCCACTTTCCAGTCTTTCGCGCCATCGCTATTTGGCTCTACTTTCCCGGAGGGGCGTGTGGATGGCGTTAATCCGTTACGTTAATCCGTTACCTGCTTAGCGCCCCGGGCCGATTAAGCTCCGGCGCTTTGCCGGCGCGTCGTCGCCCACGCCGCTCACCCAAATATTCATGCTCCTTGCCGCCCCTCCCCCCCCCCTCCCCCTCCCCCTCCCCCGTCTACATTATGCATCGCAGCCACGCGTGGACCGCACGGACCCTGCAAAAACGTTTTACCGCCCGCCATGCGTTAGTTCGTGTATTTTTTACTACCTTTTTTTTTCTCCTTTCTGTAGTGACTGTTCCCAGTGCGGTCCCGCGACCGGATTCGTTCAATTATTTCGTAAATCTCTTCTTCGCGCCCTTAAATGTTTTCATGCGTTTTTGTCTCGATTTTTCCGGGTTGCGTTTCAAGAAACGTGGCACCACTGCACGTGCTTTCGACTTCGGGCACGAGGTCTGGAAATTTTCCAAATTGTTTACCGCCTTTTCTTGTAACACTCTCGCTGCAATCAAGTCCAACTCGTGGCTTCAGTCCCTCTTTTTAGCAAGCTAAGTGAAAACTTGTGAATTCGTTTCCTCCACTTCTTTTTGGGTCATTTATGTGCGAGCACTCCTCATTAAAATAATACGCTCCTCCCGCCACCCATTTATTTTATTTTTGTTATTTTTTTTCCGCTTGTTTGTGGCTTTTCCGCTGCCCCGCCACGTCCGACTGAAGGAAATAATAAAAAAGTACCTGACTCGATTCTCTCCCTGCGAATGTTGATTTACAGCGGGAGAGGAATAAGAATCTGAATAATGTCAATAATAACAACACAGGAGGGGCGGATACGGAGAGACATTCATACAGTCAGCTCAGATCGCGTTTCGATGGCTTTAATGAATTGGATCCACCATCGTTGCTTAGTGGAGTGGGTGCGAGTGAGTGCACATATGCATGGTGTGTGTGTGTGTGTGTGCAGCGCTTCGGGGCGGGTTGCGGACTGTTCTGTGCTGCTCGGGGAGTATGGAATATGATCGGTCCATCGCACCAAAACGCCAAGAGCTCCATCGTGCTGCTGACTTCCGACCCACCAATAACACGCTGCCAGAGGCATTGTGGGAAGCGTGCTTTTTGTTGTTGTTGTTGTTGTTGTTGTCGTTTTGTTTGTTTTAAAGCAGAAACCACGCAGCAAGTCAGAGGGTCGCGTTTAATCCATTTCCAGATTGAGTCTGGTGGTCGCAGTGCTGTCAGGGAAGTAACACGCTCGGAGTATCCCAAAAATGCGCGTTGGAGGAGCCATGCTTCGCGGGGATCACGTTCTGGGCGTCATCACAAAGTTTTTAGTGTCGAAAGCAACGCGATGGCAGTGTAGGAGGTTCCGCCACGCGCACCCAATTTTCTGCACTGAAGCCGCGATTTGTTTTTGTCTGCCGCGGTCTGCACCCGACCCGAGTCTGCTTTCCATAAAAATGTGCACGCAGGCTCCCGACTCTGGTCCCGTCGCCGCGTAGTTGGGCCGGCACACTGATTCCGAGTCTGTGACTCTCGCACTCGCGAGGCGTCCCCTGCAGGTCGCGAGGGAGACAGAGCGACGAAAGCGACTCTCCGTCTGCAGGATGGCTCCACCCCTCCGCCTCGCTATTTTCCATTTCGCTTTTTGCCCTGCATTATTTAACAGTGTTACGTGACCGACTGTTTGAGCCGCCGTCGGCAGTCCCTTGATCTTGGCGTTCTCCGCGCCCCGCGCCTCTCTGGGGCCCCCAGGGTGGCCCGGCCCCGACCCGGCCCCGACCCGGCCCCGGGGCGCTGTGGGACACAATATAGCTGTCTACTACCCAAGTCAAGTGAAGCTCTCGTCCTGTTATGAAAACAGTAATCAAACTTGTGCCCGACTCCCTGCCGGGCCTCGGCAAGTCCCGCCGCGGTGCCGCGGCCCGGTCTGGTGGTGCACGGTAGTACTTTGCAAAAGTCGACTTGGCAGAAGGTCAAGTTCTCGCCGTGCCGTTCACCCTGCATGTCGTCACCTGTTGCGACAGCGTTGACCTCGAAGCCTCATTTCGGTCAGTTGGTCCATCGCGCACACACACACACACACACACACACACACACACACACACACACACACACACACACACACAAAAAAGGTTTCGTGATTTTTTTTTCAAAGATAGATAAATCTTGGTTCAAGAAAAAAATCTGCATTTGAGCAAAAGGGTTAGGATCAAGAAAAGTTTTCCCAAAAAGATCAACTAGATTTTTTTTTTTTTTTGGGAGTTGCTGCCTCCTCGCTTCTGAGTTCTCTTTCACTCTGTTGCAGACATCGCCCTCAACTTCCGCACCACGTACGTGTCGCGCAAGGGCGAGGTGGTGTCCAACCCCAAGTCCATCGCCGTCAACTACTTCAAGGGCTGGTTCGTGGTGGACCTGCTGGCCGCGCTGCCCTTCGACCTGCTCTACGCGTCCGACGTGTACAGCGGCGAGGTGAGTGGTCCACGACCGTGGACTCGGGTGGCACTAGAAATTAAGTAATTTAAAAATTAAGAAAGAAATTAAAAAATTAAGAAATTAAGGAAATCACAAACGTAGAAAAGAAGCAAAAAATTGAAGGAAAAAATTGAAGGAAGACAAATATTGAAAGGAAAAGATTAAAAAACAAAATCGGTGACTTGCTCCGCGGCGCGGCGTCGCCACCCTCCGCGCGACTCGAGTCGATAGACAAGCGGACTGGCGGCCGCGCCTTACAGATGTCGCGCCAAAACCAGGCTTTGACTTAGGCTCACCCCCCGGCTCGACTTCCTGTGCCACCAAGCCCTTCCGGCCCCAGCGCCACCTGGAGCGGTCTCGTCGGGGTGGCAGAGCGAGAAAAACGGAGCAACGCGGTCCCCCTTCCCTCCCCCCCTCTCTCTCTCTCTCTCTCTCTCTCTCTCTCTCTCTCTCTCTCTCTCTCTCTCTCTCTCTCTCTCTCTCTCTCTCTCTCTCTCTCTCTCTCTCTCTCTCTCTCTCCGACCCCGCCCCCCCGGCTCCACAGGTTGCTTTCCCGGAAGTCGACCAATGTAAACGGACACAAGGCCGCTCTCTCTAATCCATCTCATTTTATTCGGCGACTCGGCCGAGCGCCTGCGAGGTAGGCCGCCGCCGACTCCGCGGCGCGCCGCTGTTCGGCGGGACGGCCCACCCTCGACTTGGCAGGCTGACGGCGCGCAGTGGGCCAGAAGACCGGTGGAGGCGGCCGAAACTCTAGACGCGTTTTGAGCTCCAGCGTCGCTAAACAGGGCTCGAACGGAACGTGTGACCCCACCAATGAATTGCTCTCAGAACGAGGAATCCATTGGTGGAGTCACACGTTCGGTTCGAGTCCCATTTAGCGACTCTGGAGCTCAAAACGCGTCTAGAGCTTTGTCCGCCTCCATCGGTCTTCTGGCCCACCGTGCGGGATGGCCAAACCAGCGGCGCTGTCTCTCAAATTATGACTTTTCCCGCTCCGCAAATATTGATCTCGAACGGCGTTTGGCTCGGCTGCACGTAAGGCCGCCCCGTTCCGTTTTTGTTTGTACCACAAACATCATCATCGCCTTTGATATTTTAATAATAAATCAGATCGTACAGAGACGCTGACAGGGGCCCAGACCGCCGGATTAAAAAAAATTGAAAAGACAGTTTTTTTTGTTAGCTTGCCGCGGCTCGTGGACGCAGGCCATCACTCACGCCATGGTCCGGACAGCCAATCAGCAACAAGGGAATAAAAAAATTAGAGAAGGATAAAATAAGCGAGGGCCAATGAACTTCATCGCGTTGATGCATGGGCTCCGCTTGGAAAGTGATTAGGCCGGCCACCCGGTTCGCTTCGGCGGAGCGTTACTGCACTGGGAAAGAAAGCGTCACCACCATGGCCCTTTCACTGGGCGATGCTTGTATCGTCGTTCAACTTGTGGGTGGGTGGCCGGTGGCGTGGGTTCAACTACTGCCCACTGCAACGAGACAGTTTTTTTTTTCTTTGCCGCGCTTTTTGTGTGGCCCGATCGCAGAGAAGCGGTGGGCGGTTCTATTCGGACCGTTGGTTTCGACGAACAGTGCCCGACTGTGGGCCAACGCACTACTGTCTCTGGAGGCCACGGCCACGAATGGAATTACCGCCACCTTTTTGCTCGGAACACACAGGGAACAGACGGACGGACAGACGGACGGACAGACGGACAGACAGACAGACCGACGGCGACGCCGAAGCAAAGGGCCGCTCCTGGGCACGTGGAGCCCTCGCCTCCGCGTCTCTTCAATTGGACCTCGACCTGGATGACGTCGTAAATTCCTGCGGCAACCGGGAGGGGGAAGGGGGAGGGGGCAGACATCCGACACTTGAGACGGTAAATCCAGACCCCTGCAACCGCCCAGACTACATACACGCGTAAAACCCACGCGTTCATTTATTTTTTCAAAAAATCGTCAACGCACTGTTTTCACGTCCTTAATTTTTTCACTTTATTTCGCGTCACACCGTAAAATATCACGAGTTTTTTTTTGCGTTGAACCGTGCGTGAGTTACGCTCGAAAAGTGCACAAGGACTGGGTGTGCACTGTGAAATACTGTTTGGATAACGAGACGGGTTGCTGCTATCCTGCTGTGCTTAAAGGGCCTAAAAAACCAACGCAGCCATTGTTGCGAAATTATGCGAGATTGCGCATGTGCGTGTGATAAGGGCCGCGATTAGAGAGTGTGTGTGTGTGAGAGAGAGAGAGAGTGGGAGAGAGACAGAGTGTGAGTGTGTGCGTGTGTGACAAGCAGACGGGCACACACGCAGTGAGCCGCAAGGGTCGGAAGGAAGGGTTGGGGGGGACGGGGGGGGGACGGGTCAGAGAATGGGTGATTTCGCTTTGCTCAACGCGCGCGGCCCGGGCCGTGCCCACGAGGGTGGCTTGGTTCGGACACCCCTTGTGGACGCCTTCTTTACTCCCTGCCGTGTTGACTCTGAGCGCCCCCCCCCCCCCCTCCTCGAGCCTTGAGGCGTGTCCGAACCGTTACGTCTGTCTGTGTCCACATACTCTGCAACGCGCGAGGACCGCCAAGCCTTAGCCAAGCCCGCCCAGGGTCAGATGTGCCCCACAATCACACTCACTGGGGGAAAAAATCACTCATTGGTTGTGGTAGTTGGCAGCAGTGGGTTAAAAAATAATGTTAGGATAAGTGAAGTCATTCTCGAACTGCCACTATGTGTCTAAACATAAAATTGTTATTTTTCTCTTTTTTTTACTATTGCCTCTGGACTTTCTCAAAACGCTTTCTGGAGCGTCGGTGGACTAAGACCGCGCTGACTTTGCGACAGGAGTCAGGGCATGGCCAGATCCACCTCCTGAAGCTGACGCGACTGCTGCGGCTGGCCCGGCTGCTGCAGAAGATGGACCGCTACTCGCAGTACTCCGCCATGATCCTCACCATGCTCATGTTCTTCTTCACGCTGCTGGCCCACTGGCTGGCCTGCGTGTGGTTCGTCATCGCGGAGCGGGAGCGCGCCCTCAACCGCAAGGAGTGGGACCTGGGTGAGTATCTTACGGTGCACCAGCACGCTATCGTGAGGATTAAAAGAAAAAAAATTTAAAACCGGTTTTACTCAAAACGTAGCCAACCTTTAAAAAAATTGCGACCCGATAACGACGCGTAGTGCTGGCCGATTCGGCTTCATCGCCGAACTCTCCGGACTGGAGCACGACGACATCGAGGGGCCAAATGATTCCGGTTCCGAGACCTTGTTCGCCTCGCCGGCTCCCTCCCTGGTCGAGGATGGTCGAGGATGCGAGGGCCGACGGCTCCAATAGGAAGTCCTTATCCGTTGACTTCGTATCGGCCCCATCGGCTACTGATTCCCTCCGCCTCTCTCTCTCTCTCTCTCTCTCTCTCTCTCTCTCTCTCTCTCTCTCTCTCTCTCTCTCTCTCTCTCTCTCTCTCTCTCTCTCTCTCTCTCTCTCTCTCCCTCTCCCTGTCATCAATCTGCGTTTTCCCATCTGTCTGTCCGCCCACCTGTCCGACCCATTTGCTTTCAATCCATTACTCATCCCCTTGGCAGGGGAATACCAGGATACCAATCCCCGGCCGGCATGTCGCGCGAATTTGCGGTGAGGTAGCCTCTCTTTTGACCCGGATCCCAGAGAGAGAGAGAGAGAGGGGGGGGGGGAGTCGTGGCGGCCCGGCCCAGTGACCTACACTGATCCGCGTCGAAAGAAAACAGACCCGCGCCAATATCCGACGCACGCGTTGCCGCACTCGTCCGTAAGGTTTTCGTTTTAAGAGTGTCTGGCGCGCACCGCGGAGGATAAAAATGCAAAATGTTCCAATTTCTTAAAAATCCATTTTCTTTCTTTGTTTTTTCGCGGGAGGGCTGCCCTTCTGTTTGCGGGTTTCCGGCCGCAGAGCGACGAGAGCGAAGATGGGACCGCGGCATTTGCATGTGCCTGTTTTGTTTTCGAGAGTGTCTCTTTTCTCACCGGGCTGAGCCGCGCGTCTGGCCGCTGGAGGGAGAGAGACGGGCAGAGCATCCCCACCGTGTGGAGTGGAGGGAGAGAGACGGAGGATCGGATGGATTAATCGCCACCGCGTATTGTTTTAACCCCCAGCCCCTTCCTCTCATTTTTTTATTATTTCGCTTTTTTTTGCAGTGCTCATTCGTTTGCCCCGCCAGGCAAAAGGATTTATGGGGTGGGGGTCCGCATTTATAAAATGGGACTGAGGAACTGCCATTCAGCCATTGGCGATGTCCCTGACTGCCCCGACGGCCGAGCGAAAAAGAGGGGGGGGCGAAGGGCGGACAAACAAATATTAATTAGGCCGATGGGGTGCTTTTATAATTTGTTCAAGTGCGACGATTTAGGAAAATAAATAAATATAAACAGTTGCAAGTTGTTGCATCTTTTTTTTTGTTTTCTTTCCAGGGTGGATCCACACGCTGGCGGACCGGCTCAAGCTCAACGTGGCCAACATCTCGCACTCCGAGTCGTACATCACGGCGCTCTACTTCACCTGCTCGTCGCTCACGAGCGTCGGCTTCGGCAACGTGTCGGCCAACACGTACGCCGAGAAGACCTTCAGCATCATCACCATGCTCGTCGGAGGTCGGAAAACGTTTTCTCAGAATTGACGAACAATTCATGCATTTTTTTCATTTTTTTTTCAATTTTTTGTTATTTTTCAACTTTTTATATTTTTTCAACTTTTTGTATTTTTTTAACTTTTTGTAATTTTTTTTCAACTTTTTGTGATTATTTTTTTGCTGCTTGCTAACAGTGTACCTGCCTGTTCCAGCGCTGATGCACGCCGCCGTGTTCGGAAACGTGACTGCCATCATCCAGCGCATGTACTCGCGCCGGTCGCTCTACCAGACCAAGTGGCGCGACCTCAAGGACTTCCTGGCGCTGCACCAGGTGCCCAAGGAGCTCAAGGGCCGCATGGAGGACTACTTCCAGACCATGTGGTCGCTGAACCACGGCCTGGACATCCACGAGGTGAGGTGGACTGTTGATCTGTCCGGTGTGCGGAAATTGTGTGTACAGAATATTGGGATGCGTGTGTGTTCCACCTGCGGGATTACCACGCGCACTGTTGAGTTTGCAGAGTGCTGGCAAAAAATCAGGATGGAAAGCGGGGAAGAATGGAAGCAGGACGATGAAAGGAAAGCAGTGCGCAACTTCCATCCAATAAGCCTCGAATTCTGCGGGGCTCGGGCTTCAAAATCGTACTTTCCATTAAGTTTTTCATCTTTTCCCCCTCCTTTCTGTTTGTGACGATTTACTCCTTCCCTTTGACGGTTAGCGCGCTGCCGCCCTCATTAGGGAATGGGCCTAACGTTGTTTTCCCGGTGCCGCCCTGCAGACCGAGAGTCGATCTGTCTCTCTCGCACTCGTGGGGCGGCGCGTGTGGGGGCGAGAGAGACAGCGCGACGAAAGCGACTCTCGGAATCAGTGTGCTGGTGCCGCCGTGGTGCTGCCGGGGCCGGCCTGGAGGTCTCGCTGCCCAGAGGCCCGGAGAAGGAAGACTATGGCGTCGCCCTTCCGAATTGTTAGGCCGCCCCCTCGCCCCCCACCCCCACCCGGATGAGTTCCCCTTGTCTCCGAGAAGAAAGGGGTGGCTCCTTTTTATTTTGCGGCCCCGGCCGCCCTGACCGAGGCGGCGGCGAGGCTGACAGCGTGACTGGCTCAATTTATCATTGGCCGCGTGTCTTAATCCAGCCGCCGGCCACCGCACTGCGAGGGGCGAGCTGTTTTCTTTTTCACACTTTAGGTAAAAATAAGAAAAGCGGAGCGGATGCAAAGTTGCAAGGCCGCGCTTTATCCTCATTAGCTTCACTTCCTGTAATCGCGTTTCTTCCTCGCCCACCTGGCGGGGCCGGGCGCGCCGAGCCGCAAGGCCGCAAGGCCACGGTCGTGGGTTCTAATACCGCCTTCCGCCTCGCTTTCTTAAACTTTAATTTTCAATTTTGGCGCCCCGTGCGGCCGGACAGACGCTGAAGGAGTTCCCGGAGGAGCTGCGCGGCGACGTGTGCCTGCACCTGCACCGGGAAATCCTGCAGCTGCCCATCTTCGAGACGGCCTCGCCCGGCTGCCTCAAGCTGCTGTCGCTGCACATCCGCTCCAACTTCTGCGCGCCCGGCGAGTACCTCATCCACCGCGGCGACGCCCTCGCCTACACCTACTACCTGTGCCACGGCTCCATGGAGGTGGTGCAGGACGACATGGTGGTCGCCATCCTGGGTAAGCCTCTCTCGAGTCCTTCCTCAAGGTTGAATCGTGAGTCTTAAAAATTTGGCATGACTGTCCGACAGGTAAGGGCGACCTTGTGGGGAGCGACATCAACATGTTCCTCCAGCCCGCCAACGGCGCTGCGGGTGGCGGCGGGGGCGGCGGGGGCGGCGGCGGTGGTGGCGGCGGTGGAGGCGGCGGGGGCGGCGGCGCCCCCATCGACGTGCTCATCAAGTCCTCGTGCGACGTGCGCGCGCTCACGTACTGCGACCTCAAGTGCCTGCACATCGTGGGGCTGGTGGACGTGCTGCGGCTCTACCCGGAGTACCAGTCGCAGTTCGCCAACGACATCCAGCACGACCTGACCTACAACCTGCGCGAGGGCTACGAGGCCGAGGTGAGCGCTGCAACGATTGCGGTGCTGCAGCTTGTCCCTCCGGGAGCCTCACGCCCTGCTTGTCCTTGTGCAGCAGGAGTCCGAGGGCAACGGCGGGCCGTCCCTGACCCTGCCCTCCATCAGCGAGGACGACGAGAACCTCCCCGAGGAGGGGGAGTTGTCGCCGCTGTCGCCCATGCACGCGCTGCACGCCTCGCCCGGCAGGCACGCCAAGTTCCAGTCCAGGTGAGTGTCGCCCCACAGTGGGCCAGAAGACCGGTGGAGGCGGCCGAAACTCTAGACGCGTTTCGAGCTCCAAAGTCGCTAAATTGGACTCGAACCGAGCGTGTGACCCCACCAATGGATTCCTCGTTCGGAGAGTAATCCATTGGTGGGGTCATACGCTCGGTTCGAGTCCCATTTGACGACTCTGGAGCTCAAAACGCGTCTCGAGTTTTGGCCGCCTCCACCGGTCTTCTGGCCCACTGTGCTTGGACAAGTGACAAAGTGAATGGGGCGAGGCGATGACGGTGCCTACACTGCGCAGGCTGGAGGAGCTGCGCTACCTGGAGGGAGGCCGCGGGCGGCGGAGCGGTGCAGGCGCCGCGGACCGCCCCCGGGGAGTGCTGGGGGCGCTGGGCGCCCTCGGCGCGGCCGACGCGCGCTCCAGCGTGGAGCGGCTGGACAACCACGTCAGCACACTGCACCAGGACGTCGCCACCCTCAGCCAGGAGGTCAGTAGGGCACGGCCCCTTGCCCCTCAAAGAACCGTTTGCTCGCTCGGGCTCTCCATGAGTGCGACAGAGACAGAGCGACGAAACGATCCAGGCCGAGGCCAGGGTTTCCCCATGGTTTCTCATCCTTTACGGTGTGGCGCCACAGGTGCGGTCCGCCATCCAGGCGCTGCAGGAGCTGGCCACGACGACGGCGGCGCGCCACCCCTGCTACCCCCACCCCCTCCCCGCGCGCTCCAACCCCAACCTGCCGCACCAGCACCACCCGCCGCACCCCATGGGCATCGGGCTGCCCGGGCAGCTGCACCGCTCCAGCTCGCACCCGCCCGACATGTTCAGCTGGGAGGACGGCGTGCACCTGCCGAGCACCGCGCACTCCGGACACATCGCCGGCCACCCGCCGCCCGGCCACATCCGCCCGCTGTCGCCGCCGCCCTTCCCGCCGCGGCCGCTGCCGCCCGCGCCGCTGCTGCACCCCGTGCCGGTGCAGGACCGCGGCACGCAGGTGAGCCGACTAGCCGACGACCGAGGGGGAAACGACCACGTTGCTCGCTCTTAGACTGTTTTGATCTCTGCCACATTGACCTTGACCTGTCTTCTTCTCCCCGCAGACCGACTACCCCGTGGACCTGCTGGAGCAGTTCGTGCTGGAGAACCCCCACCGCGTGCTGGCGCTGCTCGGCGTGGACGCGGCGCCGCCGTCGATGCTGCCACTTCCGCCGCCACCGCCGCCGCGCCGGCCGCCGCACGTGGCGCAGGAGACGGAGCTGGTGTACACCATGCCCAGCGCGTACTCGGTGCGCTCGGTGCGCAGACTGGCCACCAGCGTCGGCGAGCTGGGTAAGCTGGCCGGGACGGCCGTCACCGGCAACGGGCACGGCGCCGCGGCGGCGGCCAGCTCGGCCGGCAACCGGCGGGCCATACCCGCGTCGCGCTCTCTCCAGACCTTCTTCTTCTCCTCCAAGAAGGACCCCTTCGAGCACTGGAGCTGAGTCGAGTGTCGCGCCAGTGATTCTGTGACTGAAACAAATCGGTTGTCTCTTGTGCCTGTGTGTGAGTGTCAAGGAGTGTGTCTGTGTGTGCGATCAAGTGCTGAGCGAATCTGATAGAAAGTATTGTTGTTGTTATTATGCGTGGTTAAATATTTCCATTTATTTTTCTTCTTCTTGGAAATGTTCGGGAGAATTATTCCAATGTATGTACTGATTTTGAAATAGTGAGAATTTGTGATGGTTCTTAGTGATTGGACTTGAATTATGTGTACTTAATACTGACTTCTGGTGGAGTGGTGTGTGATGATTTAATGATAAGTAGGAACAAATCGAATTTATAATTATTTTCTAAAGACAACTGTGGTAAAAACTTAAGGGCAGAGATGTTGTCTTTGTGATTTCTAGATTACTGAATGAAGCACAACCAGTTCAGATCAAACGGCAATTCAGAGTTGTTATCTAAATCTAAAGAATTTGTAAGCGCACAGCCAATATTTGTGCTCTTTCATTTATTATAATTACTGTAGTTCTTTCTTCCTGCCAGCCAATTTAACTTCACATAAATTTTAAACAAACCAGATAATGAGTTTACAAAAGAGTGGAACTTACCGTAGAATATGGAAATGAGACAGAGAGGCTTCTGAACTCGCCCATTCTTTGTTATAGATTCTTAGGATGATTTCGTAGAGAACTTGATTTGAGTTTTAATAGGACTTTCCTCTACTGGTTTCAAGTTTAGGCCTAAGTAGGAAAATTGAGAATGACTTTCTCTGCTTCTCAAATGGAAATGATAAATGATTGTTAGAGTTAGAATTGAATAGGTGTACAATTGCTCCTTCAGCAATAGATTAATGTGATTTGGCACACTATGCCTTCCATATTTTCGAATGTGCCATGTATCCCTTCCATAACTTGTTTCTTTTGTTGTTTTTTTAAAAGGAGGTAATTTTACCTGATGTACTTTTGATTTGCTCAAAAGAGTAACAATTCAAAATTTTATCACTTGTTGTTTGCTTTATTTTTGTGATTCAAGCAAAATTTTTGGGAGAATGGGCTTTACCTGCAAAGTTTGGCTCCTCGATGTTGACTCGTGATATCCTAGTCTTCTATATCTCTGAGGCTTGTTATGACTCCTGTTACCTGCCTATATGTTGTACCTATTTGAAGAAATGTTGTGACTGTGTAAACAATATTTTTTTACTTTCAATCTAAATTTATCTGGTTGTTTACCATATTAGTATGTATTCTTGTGTTTCAAACTCATTAAACTCTTTCTAAAAACTGTGCAATTCTAATGTATATTATTTAGCCTTTCATTGTGAGTAGTGCGTTTAAAGTGCACCAAGGTGACTTTTAGAAAGCAAGGTTCCTGAAATCATGACAGCTCTTTTCCGGCCACCAGCATGGCTTTATTGCAGTCCTCATGAGTACAAAAGTTTCCAGAGCCAACAGAACTTCAACGCGGCATCAGCGTACAACCTTCACACACATTATTTTCTCCTCACAAATGTTTCTGTAAATTGTGTTTCCTAGGATGCCCTTTTGTACCCAAGAGCCAGTTCTTTGCTGTGCTGCCTTCTCCAATACTGACGAGCCTTCGGACCGTTGGCAGTCCCAGTGGGAGATTCAAGTCTGCGCACCGCACAAACAATTTAGAACCTCCCGACCAGAACCGACTGCTGCCAAGTGAAGCACAGAATGCACAAGGAGTACCACACCACCACAAGACATGAAATTACTTCAAAATAATTTGAGCGCCAAAAAGGCGGGTGGTTTTTAGTTGCAGTAGTTGGGTGATCTCCATTCAGCACAAAACATAACTTCACATAAACAACAAGTGATCGATGCCAGCATCCATCTTATAAATACATTAAATTTCTATTATGTATATATGTACACGTTGTGCTGATTTACTGTGCACTGAACCTACAATTCACCTGATGGTTGCTTATCTTGAAAATACTGCTCCAGAGCACGCCTCATTCGGTTGCTTCAATGCAGTGGGCAACAGTACACATCTTAGCCAGTCTTTTCAAATTGTCCAAGGGAAGACTCAGGATTACTGTAGGCTTTCAGAGAACATCTATAGATTTGTTAAAAACACACTTATCTATAACACAATGTCAACAAATAACAGTGTACACTGGCCAAGGAGCCTGACTGGAATCAACAAGTTACGATCTCAAAATAAATATACAACTTCATCAAAGTCACAGTTGTTGCTTTTAAAGTCAAGGATGGTCACATTTCTGAGCATTCGAAAGACTTCTTTTGAGTTATTGATCCACCCGGCCCTTGAAGAGTGGGCACAAAAAGTGAGAGAAAAAAGTATATAACAATGGATATGTATGGACCAGACTCACTCACTCTCTCCCATTCACTTACACACACACTATTCCACCAACTCACTATTGCAAACGTTGCCAGTAATGACTATGTAAAAAATTACAACAAAATAACTGCAGAGCTGAGCAATAGTACCTTTGAGAGAAACTGGCAAGATCAGTGAAAATAGTTGCGGAAAAGAGCAAATGAGCTAGTAAGGTCAGTACGAGGAAAGAGGATTAGCATTGACAAGTGAAAATAGGTATAGGGGCACAAGTAAAATTTAACAAGAGCAGAGAGTTCAAATACTGAAGAACAACAACTTAGAGGTCAAATTGAAAAGTTCAAGAACAGTGCATCAGAACACGATTTAAGGCATTCAGACAATAAGACCCAGAGCCAACAAAAGGTACATTCATGCCTTTTTGCAAAAGCACTTATTTGGGATATAGGAAGGCAGCTTTAAACAGTCGTTTTTGTCAAGTGTGCAGCCCGAAAGGCAGGCAAAGGTGAGATGAAGTGGAGCCCAGGCATTAGTTATTCTGGCAATATTTGCAATAAGGTAAAAATAATAGTAGATATTTCGCACACAAAAATCATTTTATTGTCTTGATGTGCATGGTTTCCATCACCACAATCACTATAAAAATTAAATTATTGTGTTTCTTTTAAGATCCTCATTTCTCTCCCACAGACGAGTTAAACTTGATACTTCAAAGGATTTTTTTCTTTTTTCATTTAAAAAAAAAAGAAGAACCCAATCACTTGTTTTGTGTCCAACGAAAGATTTCATCACAGACGTTTAAGTGCTGGTCTCTTCGCCAGACCTACTTGACTTTCTTGGGAGGTGGCACCGCTAGACAGAAAAAAAGAAAACAACAAAGATTAACAATCAAGAAGCGAACTTAGATTCATAGCAAAGTGACTTATTCATGATACTGCTAGCAATTATTTTTAAATTCTCTGATCAGCATATGCAAACACTTGCAACATCTAGAAAATTTTGAGACGAATGGAGTACTGTAAACCTAAGTGAAACACTTCATCAGGAAAGAGCAACAATTTTGTTAAGAAATAACATGGGGTCATATTGGGCAAGTGTTGATTGAAGAGACTTACGGCAATCTGGAGAGATGAGACAGAGTCCTGGCGCAGGCCTCGGAGGCATCAGGAGTTGGCAGTTCAGTGGCGGCGGACCAAGGGCCTTTAACTCCACTGTGTTAAATAGCGACACTCAACACACCACCGCACTCGATTGCTTGTTCCAGTGTTGTCAAATTTTGCTTGTGATGTGTCATATGCTTGTAGTTTGTTGGTATGTAAAACTAAATAAAACGGTGCACATGCTTGAGCATATGCTTAAAATTTTGCTCTAGTAGTCAAGTAGAGATGGGAAAAGACCCTCATGAAAGGCATGTTCTCATAAGAGTTATTTTTATGTGTAACAAAGCAAGTTAAAATCGAAATCAACTTGAAAAGCATTTGGTCCAATGAATGGCTGAAGACAGCATAACTGCATAGAAATAAACCAAGCTGGAGTTAGTTTTTATAAAAAATGGTGGTGTTAGTTTTATAATACAAGAGAAGAAACAGGTTAAGTTAGTAAATGCTTGCCATAGTTAAACTCCATATTTATTAATAACTTCAGTACTCCTACCTCCACAATACAGTTTATTTACAATAATTTCTCATTAAATTTGTGTCAGTTATTAAAAAGATGTTAACCAGCGTCAAACCAAACTGGAGGACTAGGGGCTGAGACTAGTGATAGATATACCTGCCCCCTTCCATGGTAAGGACAACAGTAGGAAGGACTATGCACACTTGTCACACTCTGTTTCATGAAAGGTTTAGTACAGACCTTTTATTTACAACGATGACCAGAGCATAAAGTGTTGCATTTATGGTGAAACAATACTGACCGTTACCAATTGTTGAGAAAAATCAACAATAGGTAGTATTATATTGACTGAGTTGCTATGTAGTTGAAAACAAGAGGCGGTGTTAAGGAAACTAAAACAATACTAACCACTGATGGAACCCTTACTTTGTCCTAGCTACTGTTATTACCATGATTAAGAAAACTCTCCAGTTTGACATCCTTCTCTTTTCGGGAAACACATCAAATATCCCATCACATCTTTCAAAGAGGAAATCTATAAACCTGGTTTAAAAACTACTTGGGCTACAATGTGTCAAGTCGCATATCAGTTGGTTCATGTGAGTATTCAGTCACCCTTCCACAAATTATTGAAGTCCATTTTAGGGATCAGCCTTTGTATTTTAATCCAACCACCACCAGTCTTCTACTAACATCAACTGAACTTCAATGTCAAAGTTTGCCCACTAGGAATGACAAATTATGACGGAAAGAATTAATCCTAGGTAAAGTGAAAACACTTACTAAATAGAGAATTTTTTTAAGGAAGAATTAAGTTTAATTTTCAGACGGTTGGAAGTCATATCAAGCAGTATTAATGACACCACAAACTTTCAGTGTGTTAGAAACAAATCAATTTACTTACCAACAATCACCATACTCAAATTTTCAAATTTTTATAAAGGTTGCCCCAACTAGAGCTTTCTTATGGTACTATGTTGGCTCACACTCAAGAACTTTCAACACCACACATGTAAGTAAACAACACTTGAACAAGCTAAAGTACCGCACATGCAAGTATTGGAGTCAACTCAAAAACATCAAATACCGTATTCATAACTAATGGAAACTAAGAAAACCTACCCTGTCACTAAAAAACCCAATAGAAAACAACAACGCGCAATTTAGAAATTTCGAGAGGTGAATTTGGAAACTGCTTTCATATTATTTCCCGATAGAACATGCACTGAATGTCCACATTTGGCAAATGGAAGCAAAAGTTGATGCAGGTTGTACAGACCTACACATTTTGGAATTCAATTGGAAGTAAAATAAAAAACTTTCAATTTTTTTTTAACATCAATCAAAGTTTAACTTGATGTAATCGCCTTTGAAGATGAGAATCTAATAAATATAGGCCTTCAACTCCTTTTAAAAATTTACTGTGCCAGAAAACTGGTGTTATCACAGCCCTAAATACCGAAAGACATAAACCTAGACACAAATTACACTGACCAAATCAACCTGTTCCAAAATAAGTCAGTCTGTCCCTAAAGACAATCAACAGCTTACAGATGAGACACGTAAAGACAAGCCTTCATCATCAACAATATCACCAGTTGCAGTTGCGCAACAGAAGGTACTATTATTAACAACCTAAGTAGTTTAGTTCTTTTTAAATTCTAAAAACTTTTAATATGGGGAGATTTTGAAATTTTCAAAGTGAAAAGGACATGCTACATCTTTTCTTTCTTTTATTCTATGCTATCACACGAAATAAATTGTCTCCTAGATGGTACAACTTCGATATCACTTCAAACAACTGAAAACTCAGCCTGAAGACAGTTCAGTGACATGATCTGGTATGGAACTGGATAGGAAGAAAACTTTTTACCAGCTCGAATAGTAAATGTGAAACCTAGAATACATATAATTAAACTACTGAGACACTGGACATTTCCAATACACTTTAACTTGCAATAAAGTTCACTCAGTACACTGCTCCCAGCACATGCACACACACTCACACAAACATTGGCATACACATCAACGTACCACTAATGAAGGATCAACTGTGACTGGAATGACAAATACAGTATTTACAGTATTCAATATTTGTCATCATTTATATGCTAGTAATATATGTATATATATAAATAAATATTCTTTCTAATTTATTTATTTATACATATATCTATGTTTATTGGTTCAATAAGTACAACCGAGAGAGTAGAAATTTTGGTTTACTACACTTCACTACTTGAGTTAATGCACACTCTTTCCAGTTGCAAACATACACCGGCACAACAAGCACTTTCAAACACGCTAAATAAATTAGATATAACAAAAATGAGAAGCAGAAACAAATACTACCAAAAATCACACAAAATTGTTTTTGTAAAAATAAAAAGGCACATCACAAAACAGGCACTTCTTTGATGGATTGTTGTGGATGAGAACAAGACAGTTAATGATGTAGATTTCTTCTTTCACAAATTGTTTGTGAGCGTATGAGTACACTTCCTGTCGCTTCTGCATTCACAACACTTCCGTGTGATTGGCATGGAATCAAGAATTTCACCTGTACCAATGAACCCATTATGTCACGTACACTTCGATTCACGGATTGAAAATAATTTCAAATGAGCCCAAATAAAGATCAGTGTTACACTAGATCAGCACAGCTACTGAATTCATAGTATTGCCATTCTTATTAACGTCAGTGGTCATAATTTTGTTTAAGATATGCAAAAGTCTTGATTTTTTTTTAACGTGCTGTTTTTTGCAATACTATGACTTCAATAACATTAACTTTAAGTGAGGAGGACCAGTTGTTTTGGAAAAGCTAGATAAACCATCCAGCTGCTTGCTGTTGAAATAACTATTTGACTGGCTGTACAGATCAATAGAAAATGCATGTCACAACCTCTGATTTGGCTAAGGCTAAAAAATTGCAACTGCACAGCTTTAGGATTGATTAAATACTAACATCTTAGGAGTAACAGCCAGAATAATTATGTTGGTCCCTCTTAAAAGTTGGAGAGAAATAAATTTAGAGAGAAGATAATGAAGCTCATAGTGTAAAGTGAATTCCTTTATCTTGAATAGTAAATATTTTTAAAACAGGAAGACCCATTGTCAAGCACAGTAAGATCAAATTAGAAGCAAGAAATTGCAACACATTCGCAAAGGAAAGCGGATTTAAGCACTCAGATGTAGCTAGGAGAATCGGTGGGGTTGAAGAAAGTCTTGTCATGCCAATTTTATCCCTAGTCAAGAACAATGACTTCAATTTGAACCAATGATTGATTTCTACAGTTTCATACAAAGGTCACAATAAATTACCAATGCATTCCAAATTTTCGGCACAAAATGTAACTGCAGAAGTCATTAAAATTAAAACTACAATTTGTATAGAATTAAAAAAATTGTCATGCTACATGTTTTAAAAAAACTGGAAGAAATCGTTGGAAGTAATAGGAAATTGTATATTTACAAAAAACAAAAGCCCTATTTACTGGAAGATACAAAGCAGTACATTGTTTGACTGCAAAATCAGGGACTATTGACCAAGAAACAGAGAAAAACCTAGCCAAAGGCAATACGCATCACTGCAAAATATATAAGATTGATTTAAAACATTGAAAAAAAAGACCATTGCGAAAAAGTTTGCAGGAAAAACACTATTTAAACAAGGGCAGAATAGGTTGAACTTGTACAATGAGACAAAAATCTCTTAAAGTGAACATTATCTGCTAAATGTTGATCACATTCTTCAAAACCTTAACTTATCACTGCTATGCACATGTTAAAGAATGATCTTAACTTCACATCAAAAGTCATGAGAAACAATGGAGGACAGATGGAAGACACAGAAAAAAAGACAAAAAAGTAAGAACCAAAAAGTAGTGGCAAACAAAAATGACGGGGGTGAAAAATATACCACACAAAATACCACTTGACATATCTGCCTACCGACAGCTACCGTAACGATGGATGGGGTGTTTCAGACAAAGTCAAAATAGTCAAAGCCTCGCCGCCGGTGCGGCTACAGGTTTGAGTTGAATCAGTTCAACAGTTCAGTTGGTCATCACAGCTCACTTCTCTTGCTCCACAAAGAGTTCTTCGTCCTCTCTTTGGGACGAGAGTCACTGCTGCATGCCCACACAGGTACATGCAGCCAAAAACATTAAAGTTTGCACTAAGTGTTCAGTCAACACATTGGAAAAAAATGTGTAAAGATGGAGGGGGGAAGGGCAGGCAGTTGTGGAAAATAGGGGAGGGGGCAAGGGGGAGGGAGGAAGAGCCAAAAATATATGCCTGCTCTTTGCACTGGTCAAATCACAAACACACTATCCTTCAGAAGAAGCGGAGCGGAGCAGTAGCAGGTCACAGATACCAAGGTTGGATGTTGGTCACAAAAGTATAAAAGTAATGACTGAACTTTAAGGTACAATCTCAATTAAACTGCACATGACTGAAGTTACTACATTAGCCATCCAAACAGGGCAAGTGTGTTGCCACCATGAAAGTCTGAGCACAAGATGAAGTGGTGCCTCTTCTTGTTGTCTTCTATAGGCTAAAAGCGCAATTCACACAAATTCACTCAGCAAATTGCATTAATTGGGCGTAAGCAGAAGGCGAGGCACGCAGACTTATCCTCCAAGTTCCCCCCTCCGGGAGATTGGCAGCCGTCGTTGTCTGAGGCTTAGCAGAGGCCGAGATGTTGGCCTAGATGGGTCCGTAGAGCAGCAGGCCAAAGAAAACTGCCCACATAATCACAATGCCATGCATGCCGTTGAGCATTCCCTTACCATCTGCCATCTTTCGGGCCACAAACTTCAAGGTCTCATCCAGAAGAACAACGGGAATGGAGAACTTCATTACTGTCACCCACTCCTCACCAGTCAGAGGGGTCACCTGGAACACAGTCTGCAGGAACGCACACAACACAAAATTAATTAAGGCAACTACTTTTTGAAGAATTATAATTACTAACAAATAAGGAATTAGACCTACCGCAAGGACTTCCACATGGAGAATGACAAAGTGGAGGGTGAAGGACAGAGCCATGGACCCAACGAGCCACAGGTTGCTCCATGGGGGCATGGCAATCAGGGACTGGTTCTCAGACAAGCTGCAGAAAAGAAAAAGAAAGAATTATACCGATGTGTGATTAGAATGTGTCAGCCGCAGTAGATCAGACAAGTATTATACCTGTTCATGGCGTTCAACATCTCAATGGTGACAAGCACAGACAGAGCCATGGTCATGGGGTGGGGATCGCTGAAGACCTTGCAGTCGAGACCCTTGAATTCCTCTCCACCACCAATGCAGGCCAAGTGGTGAGTCTGGAAAAAGAGACAGAAAATTTTAATTTCACCATAGACGTAGCTTTACAAACAGCAAACCAGCAACGCCAACTTACCACTTGGTAGTAGTTCATCTGGGGTCCGTTGGGGCAGTACATGAACCACCAGGTGGCAGCTCCGACAGTGGCGGCGCCGACGTAGGTACCAATAGCCATGTAGCGGAAGAACAACCAGCCAGAGATCAGGGACTCGTCGGCTCTCCTGGGGGGCTGAAAGATAAAAAAAAATCCACGTTGAATGAAACCAGCATCCTTTAAAAACCACAACACGCTCTTGAGGTGATTCATGAATGCTCCGCATGTCACTCACCTTGTCCATGATGTCGAGATCAGGGGGGTTGAAGCCGAGGGCGGTGGCGGGCAGACCGTCAGTGACCAGGTTGACCCACAGAAGCTGGACGGGGATCAGAGCCTCGGGCAGACCCAGGGCGGCAGTCAGGAAGATGGACACGACCTCACCGATGTTGGAGGAAATGAGGTACCGGATGAACTGCTTCATGTTGTTGTAGATGGCACGGCCCTCCTCGACGGCGGCGACGATGGAGGAGAAGTTGTCGTCAGCCAGCACCATCTCGGCGGCAGACTTGGCGACGGCGGTACCGGATCCCATGGCAATACCGATCTCGGCCTTCTTCAGGGCGGGGGCGTCGTTGACACCGTCACCAGTCTGGAAAGGAAGCGGCGCGGTAAGACCGTGGCGACAACGCAAGGTAAGTATGTTGCTGGAGGCATGGAGCACGCACCATGGCGGAGATCTCGTTCTGGCCCTGCAGGAACTCGACGATCTTGGACTTGTGGGCGGGCTCCACGCGGGAGAAGAGGCGGGCACGGCTGCAGACAGCCTTCTGCTCGGACAGGGGCAGGTCGTCGAACTCGCGTCCAGAGTAGGACATGCCGGTGACATCCTCGTCCTCACCGAACACACCGATACGCCTGCAGATAGCCTCAGCGGTGGCCTGCCGGACAGAGAATCCTTAGTTAGAAAACATAACAGTGGCGCGGTACTCGGGCAGTGCGGCCGACACCCACCTTGTTGTCACCAGTGATGACGATGACGCGGATACCAGCGTGACGGCAGCGGACGATGGAGTCGAAGACCTCCTTGCGGGGAGGGTCCAACATGCCGACGACGCCGACGAAGGTCAGGTTGTTCTCGTACAGGTGGAACTTGTTGGAGTCGCCAAGGTCCATCTCCTCGGGCTTCATGGGGTTGTCAGAGGTGGCGAGGGCGAGGCAGCGGAGAGTGTCACGGCCGGTACCGTACTGGCGGGTCAGGTCCAGGATGCGGTTCTTGAGGGTGGAGGTGAGAGGCACCTTCTGGGAGCCGAGACGAGCGTGCGTGCAGCGGTCAAGCACACCCTCGGGGGCGCCCTTGACGAACAGCTTGGGTCCGTTGCCGATGCGGGAAGGCTTCAGGGGCACGCAGTAGGAAGACATGGACTTGCGGTCACGAGAGAACTCCAGGGTGAACTCCTTCTTCCACTTGGTCTCGATGTCGTTGCGGACGACGATGGCGGTGGTGCGGCGGTCCAGGCCGTTCTTGGACATGTTGAAGGGGTTCATCTTCTCAGCCAGGACGATCAGGGCGGTCTCGGTGGCCTCGCCGACCTTCTCAAAGGCCTGCTTGAACTCGTTGAAGTCGATGGCGGAGTCGTTGCACATGATGCAGATGGTGCCCATCTCCTGCAGCGTCTCGTAGTCGGAAGCCTTGACCTTCTGGCCCTTCAGGAACACCTCACCGATGGGCTCGTAGGTGGAGCCGGTGATCTCGAACTCGAGGAAGCTGCTGTCGTTGCCTTCGATCTTGTCGAACACGAACATGCGGCTGACGGACATCTGGTTGGTGGTGAGGGTGCCGGTCTTGTCGGAGCAGATGACGGAGGTGCAACCCAGGGTCTCGACGGAGGGCAGGGAGCGCACGATGGCGTTCTTCTTGGCCATACGGCGGGTACCCAGGGCCAAGCAAGTGGTGATGACGGCGGGCAGACCCTCGGGGATGGCGGCCACGGCCAGGGCGACGGCGATCTTGAAGTAGTAGACGGCACCCTGCGCGAACGGAGAGGCACGTCGTCAGAAAAAACACGTAACATGACGCGGGGTTCGAACCGCGAACCACGGCGGCGGCGGCGCTACTGTACCTTGATCCAGGAGCCACCGTGAGCGGGGTCGTTGAAGTGGCCGATGTTGATAGCCCAGACAGCAACGCAGATGATGGAGATCACCTTGGACAGCTGCTCGCCGAACTCGTCCAACTTCTGCTGCAGGGGAGTCTTGATCTCCTCAGTCTCAGACATTTCAGTACGAATCTTACCAATGGCAGTGTTCAGACCAGTGCCGATGACCAGACCGCGCGCCTTGCCGGCGGCGACGTTGGTACCAGAGAACAGGATGTTCTTCTTGTCCTGCGAACAGACATCGAAACGAGGTCAGCACCGAACCAAGCAAGTTTCCGCAAAAAAATATGAGTCCAAATAATTTTGAACTTAGTTACCTGGTTGACGGCGCGGGGGTCGGGAATGGCATCAGTGTGCTTGATGACGGAGACGGACTCACCAGTCAGGATGGACTGGTCAATACGCAACGTCGTCGAGTAAATCTTAATAAGCCTAATGTCGGCAGGGATCTTGTCACCAACTGCGGGCACAAAAGACACGGAAAAGTTAAGTCAAGTTCAAGTCGATATTCGAGAGACAGAGATGGGCGAAATACGCACCTGACACCTCAACGATGTCGCCGGGGACGATCTCCTTGGCGCGCACCTTCTGGACACCGGTCTTGTCCCCTCGGACGACCTTGCCCATCTCGGGCTCATACTCCTTGAGGGCCTCGATGGCCGACTCGGCGTTCCTCTCTTGCCACACGCCGACGACGGCATTGGCGATGAGGATCAACAGAATGACGAAAGGTTCGACGAAGGCTGTGAGGGAGTCTTCGTGCTCTTCAAATAACGCGAGAACCTGCGGACAAGAAGGACAGAGAATGAGTGAGTAACTTGCTGGAGGGTGAAAAAGTGTCAAATTTGAGAGAGACAGTACAGGGGGGAGAGGCAGTGACGTAATTAGGCCGCGTACCCGGAGGTCAGTTCGAGAACGGCACCGGACCTAACTCAGCTGCTTCGCGAAGGGCCCGCGTGGCGCGACCACAACTCTAGACGCGTTTTGAGCTCCAAAGTCGCTAAACGGGACTCGAACCGATCGTGTGACCCCACCAATGGATTCCTCGTTCGAAGAGCAATCCATTGGTTAGGTCACACGTTCAGTTCGAATCCAATTTAACGACTCGGGGGCTAAAAATGCGTCCGCAATTTTGACCGCCTCCACCGGTCTCCCGGCCCACTGTGCGGCCCTGAATCCCTTGGGCCCTTCCGCGAAGGACCGGCGCGGACTTCCCCGGCGGCTCAGCCGTGTCCCTCGGCGCCCTCGGCACATCCGGCGCTCCTTTCAAGGTAAGGGGCGTGTGCGAGGAGCCCGCGCCGTTCCGCGCCGAGCCGAGCCAAATATTAATTTGGCGTCCGAGCCCCCGGCCCATGGCGTCCCTGGCGTCCGCGGCGTCCCGGCCGCAGCCTGCCGCAGCGCAGGGCCACCACCACCAGGCAGGCCGCGGGGCGGCAGGTTAGCAGGTGTGCCACCCCTGCCTGCCGCGCGGCCTGCCCGGCCCGGCCTTAGGCCCGGCCGGCCTGCATGTTATTTTCAGAGTGCGTTCGCCGCGCCTTGCGTCGCTTCGCCTCGCCGTGCTTCGCCGTTTGGCGGGGATAAGTGGCCATTCCGACGGCGACTCATCAATCGCCGGGCCCTCTTCCGCGAGCACGCCCACCAGGAAACGAGGGGAGGAGAGAAAAAGCGACCCGCCGCGGCCGGGAGTCGAACCCGGGCCGGGCACGTGCAGGCTCCTTCCTTCCAGTGCACCTCATTACCGCACCGCGCTGGGCAAGGCCGGGCCGGGCAAGGTCGCGGCGCCGCGAGAGGAGAGCAGCAAGGCGAGGGCTAAGCCGCCAGGCCCGCCCTGCGAGGGATAACTTTCCTCGACAATGCTAAAATAAAATGCTGGCCGGTGGCCGCGCGGGAGGAGAGGAGGGGAAAGAGAGAGAGGGGGGCCGCGAGGAAGAACGATGGACGGTGGACCAGCAGCGCCTTTGTGGCCCGCTGCCGTATATATAGCCCGGCAGCTACAGGGTGCCGCGGGGGTAGGGGTAGGCCAGGACGGCCAGGGCGCAACTACCGGTGGTGCCCGGGGGGGGGGGGGGGGAGGGCAGCCTACCCACCCCCCTGCCTCCGTCCCACGGTCCCAGGCGAGGTCCACCCAGGCCGCCACCGCTATCTCAATCTCGATGGCGTCCGCGGGCTACAGGCGGTACCTGCGCGCACTATCAGTGTGTGCCCTCCCCCTCAAAGCTCCCGTGCGCGCGGGCCGCAGGCCCCAGGCCGTGGGACACCTCCGAGGCGCGAACGCGTGGCGCACGTGGCAAGGGGAACGCAACACCAGAGTCCTGGCGACGATACTTACAAAAGAAATAATAGCAGCTAACAGCAAAATTTTGACTAATAGATCATCGAACTGCTCCAGCACCAACTGCCAGATAGATTTGCCTGAAACAGAAACACACAAACATTAACACCGTCGCCGCACGCGCCCTGACAGTGCACGCCCGATGATTGAAAACCAGCCCGTGTAAAAGCAAAAACTTTCGGGTCGTTTCACATTCTCGTCGCCCCATCCCTGCGAAACCCTTTAAATTACTTCGCGGCCCCATATCGATCTCAGTGTAATCCATCCCCGTGACCCCGCCGAGGGCCCCCCGGGGCACCACGGCACCGAGGGCCGCCGCGCCCCTACACCGGGAACACGCCCAGTGGGGCTCCAGCAAGGCCCATCCAGCCAGGTCTCGCTCCGTCTCCCTCGCACCCATGGGGCGTGTCGGAGAGGGAGCGACATCAGCCTCCAGGTTCCCACGAGCACCTCCTTCCAACTACTCACGACGCCGAGCGAAACTCACCCTCCTCAGCAGGCAGTTCTGAAACAGACAGAAAAACACAAACCGGTTAGCATTGTCATCCAGGAAAACCAATCACTTGCGCTGTCACAGCAACAGCGGCCGACTTGGCGGCTTGTTTAGAGTCTACATGGGTACACTGGAGTGCGCAGGCATTGCGCAGGCAGCACCTGCAGTGCCCCCCCCTCTCCCCCGCCATGGCTCAGCAGCTCCAGAGGCGGCCACCGCGCCGAGAGCATCATTAAAACACCCCCGCCCCGCCACCCCCGCGCCCGGAGACACCGCCCGCCGCCGCCCCGCCTCCCTTGCAGGCTCCAGTGCACTGCTTCCGAGGGTCTCTTTCGTCGCTCCGTCTCTCTCGCACTCCTAGGGCACCCCGTACGGGTGCGAGAGAGACAGAGCGACGACTCTCGTAGGCAGTGTGCTGGAGCAAGTGAAAGGTAACGAGGCCTGGCCGTGTCGCAGCCGCGTGCACCCCCCCCCCTTTCCCCCGGGGCCTGCCTCGGGGAGCAGGAAGAGCAAGGAGGGGAGGGGTGGGGCGTGCGGCTGGCGGGGCCAAAAATTAACCCCATCACGTAATTGTCAATTACGCTTCGATAACTACCCTTCACTAAGTGACGGAAGCCCCCGGGGCGCAGGCTGCTGGCGCAGAGGGTGGGCGAAACCGCGGTGGGGGGGAACAGGTGTTCCCGCCCACCAAATCCCCCTTCCCCGCGTCCTTGCCACGCCACTGGTAATCTCACCACGTGGGCAGTCGGGGCAGCGCGGCAACGCGGGGCCTCGGTAGTACCGCCACGCCGCCACCGCCTCCCGGGCCGTGCCGGGCCCCGCGGGGCCGCAGACGTCATTCTGATAGCGACACATGACGCCGTGCCCCCTCCACGCCACGCCCCGTCGACCCAAATACGCGCCAGCAGACGACGCGCAGCAGACGACAGAGAAGGCAGCCGCGGCGCGCACCGCACGCGGGGCCGAGCCAGGCCGAGCCGTCTCTCTCGCACCCACGCGGGACGTCGCCCGAGAGCGAGCGAGGCAGAGGGTCCTTGCGCGGGCCACGCACTGCACTGCCATCGCGGGGCATCGCCACGGAGAGGAGGACGCCGACGAAAAACGCAACGCAGGGCCGTCGGGGGGCGTACGGTGTAGGTGCGAGAGAGGCAGGCACCACCCTGCAGGCCCTCTAAGCCGCGTGTTCCGACAGCCAGCCGTCAGCGGCAAGCAGCCGAACACGGCGATTTACGGTGCGGACGGACGGGCGGCTAGCGGCCCAACGGGCGGATAGACAGACAGAGCGGCGGATAGAAAGACTGAAGGACGGTGGGATAGACTGAAGGAAGACAGACGGACGCCGCAGCTGCAGCATCGCCGAGCATCGCGCAGCGGCCGTTTGACGTCACAGGCCGAGACGCCGGGACGTCACGGGTTGGAAGACGAAGACGCCACAGCCGCGCCACAGTCCGTCTCTCTCGCACCTGCACGGCCTGCGCGGGACGCCCCGCGAGTGCGAGAGAGACAGAGCGACGACTCGGAATGAGTCTCGGTCGGCATAATCGCGGCATCGCGGAAACGCGGCGACGGAGTGCCAACGGGATCGACCGGGATCATTCGCCAGCCTCGTGCGCGGAGCTCGGAGGCGGCCCAAATCCCGGACGCGTTTTCAGCTCCAGCGTCGCCAAATGGGACTCGAACCGAACGCGTGACCCCACCAATGGATTGCTCGTTCGGAGACTCTGGAGCTCAAAACGCGTCTAGAGTTTTGGCCGCCTCCACCGGTCTTCTGGCTCATTGACGCCCTCGCGCCTCGCCACGCAACAAGTGGAAGCCGAACCACGGGGAGAGAAACAGTCAACCCCTTGCCCGAATGGCGGCAGTACACTCGGAATGTCCCACACTGAGATTTCCCATGTTACGAAGGAAAGGAAATGGCGCAAGCAAGGTGCGAACGTCGTTTCTCAAAAGTTTCTCAAGGCGAAAATGCTGAAAAAATCGCGTTGCGGAGAAAAAAATTTACAAAAAAAAAGTTTTAAAAACTTAAATTTCAAAAAGGTTTGAGCACTGTGTTCAAAAACAAAAGGCGACTCGTACGGAGACGACGCGAAATCGTACACCCGCTTTAGCGCTGCTCGAGCGCGGCGCGTGACGCAGAGCAACACGAGAACAAAGAATTACCACGACAAAAACTATAGGCGATGCTAAAAGCACAAAAATCAGAGTCCCGAATGTCTCAGATTTGCACTCGCGCTGTGTTCGAGACGGGGGTTTTTAACGGTGCACTAGCCTGGGTTGGCTCAGCCTCGCCCGGCTTGGCCTAGCCTAGCCGAGAGGCATGGGCGGTTCATCCCGTCCAATTCCTGCACCAGTCTCAGCGCGACCTTGCCCCCACCATCTTGGCCTTCTCGGCCACGCGGAGGTCCTCGGTCCTCCCCTCCAAGGGCGTCCCGGCGAGCACAGCCACCCGGAAGAGGGGGAGGGGGGTCATCGCGGAGGGAAGGCCTCGCCAGTCAAAACGCGCGCATGCGGGTGGCACACTGGTGGCACCCGGTGCGTCTCGGAGCCAAGGGACGTGCTCCAGCCGCCACTGCATCGCGTCGCTCCGGATGCTCTCATCAGCGGCACCAGTCAGCTCTAATAGTGGAAAGAGGGGGGGGCGGTGCGTGAGACTCCATTAGCTTTACATGAGGCGCGGCGATCCGCGGCGGAAGGACGCGCCACTCCGCGGCACTGTCAAACACCTGAGCGCCGGGCGGAGAAGGGAAAGAAAATCGAGAAAAAAATCGGCGCTTGCGATTCCTTATCAGGCGGGATTCGACACGCGGCGCCGGCGTTCGAATCTCTTGCAGGAACCGTCGCAATAGACGCGACACCGACCCACGCCCACTAGCAGTCGCGCTGTCTCTCTCGAGGGGCGCGCCGCGTAGCCGCGCAGGTGCGAGAGAGACAGCGCGCAGGGCGTTGACAGGACAGAGGCCAAGGACGCCGAGGCGGCCAGCACTTTCCCGCGAACATGGGAAATCTAAATCTCCCACTACGAGCTAAGCGACGAAACAAGGAGGTTTTTCGGCCCGGGTTCCTTCAGAAAACAAACCAAACCGACGCGCCCCGCCCACCTACGACTCAGCAGCCGCGGCCGGGAAAAAAGGGAGCGGAAAAAGCGCGCGCGGCCGAACCTCCCAGACAAGCCCGCCACCGTCGGTCGCGGGTTCGATTCCCCGTGGTGCCGTCGGTTTCTCCCCGTTTTACAGGTGTGGCACTGCACTGCGAGCCGCAAAGTGAAACAACGGGCGCCTTATCTGCCGCGACTCCACTGGGCTCTACGCCGCCCTCTATTTCCGTCCCACTTCCACACTCATAATTAAGCGGCCGCGGCCATCAAGCAGTGCGTCTCTCTCGCACCCCCACGCGTCGCGCCGAGAGAGACAGAGCGACGAGACACTGTCGCGGTGCGTCGCCGGGGGTGTGGGCTCGACGGGGAGGTGGCACTGTCAGATGAGAGTCGCGTCGCGGCGTCTCTCTCGCACCCCCGGCGCGCGCCCGCGAGTGCGAGAGAGACGGAGCGGCGACCGCGGAATCGGTATCAAAATGGCTTCGGCGCACCTGAGCCAAAGCGTAGCGCCGCCGCGCCGGGGCCGCCGGGGCCGCCGGGGCCAGCAGGTCAGCGATCCAAGGTCGTCCATACGACGGCGATTCATTTAAATACCGCGCTGCGCTGCGCTCCGCCAGTTTCCGCCGGGCTCGCCTAGAGGTAGAGGCTCGCCGCCACCGGCCCCGCCGGCCACTGCACAATCACTTGACCCAACGCGGCGCAGCGGACACGTCGGACGGGGCGGCGGGCGGCGGGGACAAAGCTCGGACAAGGGGCTCAACTACACCGGCCGGCGGTCAGGCGCGGGGGCGGGGCGGCGGGGGCGGCGCGGGGCGGCGCGGGGCGGCGCGGGGCGGCGCACCCCGCGTTGCGTAAGAGCGGTGGGGGGACACCTTTCCGAACGGGGCACGCCACGCAAGCCAACGCCATTGCCCTTTTCATGACGTGACACCGACAACGCAGCCCAGAGGCCAGTGTTCCGCGCGCAGGGAAGTCGCTGCCGACACGTCAGCCCTCTGCTTGCGGCTTTGCAGCAGCACGACCGCGGCGACGTCGCGAAGGCCGCGGCCAGGACGACGTCGTCCGCGCACACGTGTCGGCGCGAGGCGGCGGACACGTGGCCCGTCCCGTCCGTCATCGTCGTGGACGTCGTGGACGTCATGACGCACCTCCAGCCACGCCACGTCACGCACCGCCGACGTGGTCGACGACGACACTCGCTTCAATCAGCGAAAGCACGCGCGTGCCGTGCCGTGCCTCAAGCCGCGGCCGCGGTAACCGGCGCGACGCACCGCGCACCGTTAACGCGATCGGCACCCCTCCCTACCTCCCCCCTCCCCCTCCTCCTCTTCCCTCACTCCATGCCGCGGATGGAGTGGCGTGGAGTGGCGCGGCGTGGCGCGGCGCGCGGACAGAAAGGCGGGCTTCGCGTCGGCTCCGCCGCCGATAGGTGTGTGGAAAGCACAGTCAAAGCTTTGACATGAGATGAATGCCAAACGAAGCGCCTCGCCGTGCCAAGGCACCAAGGCACTCAGCGCCGTCCCTGCCCAGGCTGAACTAGTGTGCAAGAAATTATTCCCTGATACAAAATACTCAAACAATAGGAACAAATTTAATAATGACTAAACCTAGAAATTTAACCCCAACTACCCAAGCACTTACAAAATTTAAGGGATGTCACCTTTAATAATTAGAAAGAAGACACGTAAAAAAAAAAATTGCCATTCAAAATTGAAGGCAGCTACACGAACAATCAAGATAAGGGGTATCTGAGAATTCCCACAGATTAGAGGCAAGGGTAAACAAGGATACAAAGTTGAACTCCTTGGTTATGAGCATGGTACCCTGGATGTTCTGGCAACAGTAGCCTCACCACCAACGGCACTACACAGGATAGAGCCAGGAATGCAACAGACTATCCACAAGGGAGACCACCCAGATTAAGAGTGTAGTAATGAGTAAACAATGAGAGCCAGCACAGTCTACCCCCGCTAAATCCTTGGCAAACAACTGTATCAAGGTGTGCTAGACGACTGCGAATGCGCTGCTGAGCTGGTTGCAGCCCAATGGGACACGTCACCAAGAGCAAATATAGAAAACAAGAGCAGTGGAAAAGAACATGTCTAGAACTCTAAACATAATTTGAAAAAAAAAAAAAAAAAATCAAGTGGATACAATAAGTAAGTTTCTGACAAAAAAATCTTTAGACTGAGAACAATGAAAATGAATTATTCTAGATTTGGTCCTGGATGCTGTGTCCATAAACATTTAAAAAGTTCCTATACTCAACATTGTTGACAGTTGTGAAATATTAAAAACTCACCATTAAGTCCATATTTTTCTTGGTTCCTTTTAACTTGATCTGGTGATAAACCTCTCTCAGTGTCGCAGCTGAAGTAGTTTAGGACTTCGTCCACAGTTTTGGTGTGGGCGTCTTCCATGGTTGCTGATGTGGTTCTGTCAGTGTTTCATCAACAGAACCAACCAGCACTGCTCACAGAAGACCTGCACATAAAAGAAACAAAAAAGCTATGAAAATCTCACTCTCATCAAAGGTACAACTTGTGTTGCAATGTTCTCCAAGTTTAAACAAGGTTGATTTAAGCGGCAATACTAGGCAAAGGATTCCAGTGTCCAGAAAATAACAGCACTGAGATCAAACATTGCATAAGCAGGAATAATGAAATGCAGACCATCAAAAGAAAACAAGTATAATAGTACCAAGAGGGACAGACAATTTTTAAAATAAGACGCAGCAAAAGTTCGGAGAACATGACAACACTTCGATTACAGAATCACTGTCTAATATCCTGTCTACTTTGGACATAACCAGGGACTTGGGCCAAATCACTACCTTCCAACCTTAAGACAGAGGCGGCAGCAAGGTTTGGATTCTGATAAATTTGTTTTATCGAGAGAAAGAATGGAACAGTCTTGCAATGTCTGACGAGGTTAGGGCAAACTAAAACTTGCATCAGGGGCTCCTTCTGAGCGTGGCATGTTACCAGCCCCCGCAGTGGCCAACCCCAGCACCAAAACATACTCGGTGCTAGTTTAAATCACTAGCGACGCACTCGCATTCATAAACTAACGGACCTGGAAGACGTCACAGATGACTATGCGAAGGCAGCTTCCGAATGAAATGTGCTCACGAAGGTTATAAACTCACCGATATCACAGATACAGCGAAAGCCCACCTACTTCTGCTAAAACGCAGCAGCCAGATCGCAATCAGTACTCAAATTCAGTCTATTCAATACACTAAACGGTCAAAATCTGCACATTTTGGAAGTAGACCAGGCAGCAAACACTAACGTCATCTTCTGGCCATTCACTGTGTATCGCTATCGCTCGCTTGACTCGACTGAACTCGAGTAGGAGGCCGGACACCACTACGTGAGACTGACCGAGTGTTGAACCCTAGTGAACCCAACAAGTCCCAAGGATCAATGACAGATGAGACACGAATAAAATACTTAAAGCACCTCGCAACAGTCGGATGGCAGGTACGTGATCTTTCTAACTACTGTCCCGGTTTTAAGGTTATCTCCTCCACTGCTGCGGGACGGGTCCCGTAGAAGGAGAAGGAGAAGGCGGTGCGCTCTTGACTACGGCATGTGGAGTCTCCTGATTGGCCGCCGGGCCGCGTGACGTCACAGTCAGCTGTACCGGCGCGCCAACGGTTCAAACGCGGCCGGAGAACTCGACCGCCAGCGCCGCCGGACAGACACGGATCCAGGGGGCGTGATGGAGGCCCTGAGCCAGCTGGATGGCAGGCAAACAGCTCTACTTTGCCGCAGCACGTAGAGAAAAAGTGCAGCATTGCCCTTCCTCAGAAAAATCCTGGATCCGCACCATGCGGAGCTCGGCCTTGCTCTGGGCCTCCGCGAGCTTTCCGTGACGCCCGTTCCGCTGCACTTTCACTTCACTGCGGTTTTCCCGACATGGGGTGTGCATTTTGGAGGAAGCCTCCTCGGGGCGGCTGGACGACGGCGTGCCTGCCGCCAGGCCGACGCGGCTTAAGCTGTTTTTAGCGACACACATTTCTCCGCTCGAGTGGAGCGACCAGCGCGACCAGCGCGGCTGAAGCGGACAAGCCGAAGCGAAGCGACCGCGCGATCAAAAATAAATCCGACTCCTCATCCGCCGGCCCGCTGGCGCCCAGAGGCCCTAGCGGCGTGCTGGCTGCTAGAGGCGCTGGGCGGAGGTTCGAACCGTGCAGCGCGCAGCAGGTCTTGCTGGCACGCCTCGTGGCACGCCCTCTCGCACTGAATCCTTTTGCACTTTTCTTTTTTTGGGGGCCGCGGGGCCGCCGTCGCGACAGCATGGCGGCAGCCCCGGGACAACCTTCGGCGGCGCGGCCAGCTCGTCCTCGGCGACGTCCCTGCCTGTGCCGAGGCCCGCTAGTCCACCAGGCCCGCGGCGCGCCGCCAGACCGCCACTCCGACGATCACTCATCGCCCCGTCGCTGCCCGTCGCACGGCGGCACGGCGGTCGCACAGGCAGGCCGTCCCCGAGACTTCCCCGGACGGGACGGGACGGGCCTCGAGCCGCGCAGACACAAGACTCACTCACACAGCCCCGCGCGCACACCCACACACGCACACACTCGATGCACTGAAATCACTGCACTGTATCCTCTGTGGCGGGGGAGTGCACTTGCAGTGCGCTTGCAGTGCACGCACCGTGGAGATGTGCAGCCCGCGGCGTGCAGCCCACTGCGAGTGCCTCTGCCTCGGCGGTCCCCGGCGCTGCCGAGTGACGTCGAGTCGCCAACGATATGCGCTCGGCTCGGCTCCGTTCCACCGGGCGGCTGAGCTGCGGACTGGCTGGGCCAGGGCCTAAGGCCAGCAGGGTACGCCTGGCATACGCGAGGCGCCACGGGGAGGGGGAGGGGGAGGGGGGGATCTCAGGCACCCCTTCCCCGCCGCGCGCCGCGCCTCCCCCACCCTGCGGCACCCCGCGGCTAGTGGGCCCGCCGCCTGGGGGTCATCCCCACGACGCCGCGGCGGCTGAGGGAGCTGAGGTTAGTTTCGGACTTCCCTGTCGGAGCCGGGAAGGGTGGGCCGGGACGGCGGGGTAGCTGGGCCTCGTGCGAACCTACCCCTCCCCTCCCCTCCCCCTCCTCGACCGTCATCCCGGGAAAAGGCGGCTGCCAAGACGGGCCCCTGGTCGCCCGCACCTTCCCGCTGCCGTGGCGCAGCCTAGCGCAGCCGTGCCGCGGCGGCGTGGTGCTGGCCCGCCCCCCGCCCGCCCCGCCCGCCCCGCCCGCCGTGCCTACGGCGGCTATTTTCACCGCGCGAGTAAGTCTCCCTCCGTGGCGGGGCGCCGCGAGGCACGGAGACAGCGCGTGGAGGACCGCCCCGCCCCGCCCCGCCGGGGAAGTCCGCGACCACCTCGGCCCACCCCTACCTAAGGACCGGTGCGTTACATGCCCTTCTTGGTGGGCGCACCTTCGTCTTCGTCCCTGATTGCTGAGGGTGGGTCAACGTGGACCTGAAGTCCACCGGGCGTTCCCTCTGCGGCGTGGTCCATCACCAAGGCCCAGATGAGAGTCCGAGGAAAAGGCGGAAACTGCTGGGATGCACCGAACGGAAAACGCCCTAAAAAGTGCGTTCCTGCAAGACAGCGGCGTGCGCGTCGAGCGAGGTCCCTGCCCTGTCGCGGTGCACTGCACTGCACTTTCCCAGGCCCCGCGTCCCACCAGCCCCAGCACACACAAATTCGCGCCGCACTAACTGTCCGAATCGCTGTCTGTCTGGCCGTCCGTTCGTCTGTCTGTCTGTCCGTCCGTCTGTCGCTTCCGGCAGAGTGCCGTCTTGAGTCGCGGGGTCGGCGACCTGGCGGGCCTGGTGTTGCACGCGCCTGTCCACGCCCCCTCCCCTTCCCTCAACTCCCCCGCGATGCAGGACTGCGTCGCCGTCCCCAAAACCCATCCGTCGCCGCCGCCGCCCCCTCCCCTCCGCCTTCCATGTGCTAGCCTTGGCCAGGCCGGCCGGGCCAGCCTTGGCCATGAGGCACTGCAGCGTGGCAGCGACGAGCGGCGCGCGTGTTTTGGGGCTCAAGCTGAAATAAACCGTTCCGAACCCAGGCGTGACCGCCCTCGACCTCGCCCCCTCTCTCTCCCACCCCGGTGCGACGGGCGCGCGCCGGATTTCTCATCCGCGAAGGACACCGCGTCTGGGATTCCGAGGCGACATTCTGCCGCGGCCAGAAGTAATCGACTTGACGCCAGCTGCCCGAGCGGTCTCTCTCGCACCCCCACGCGGACGCCCCGTGAGTGCGAGAGAGACAGACAAAGCCTCGCCGCGTTGCGACCGCCATGCAGAACCTTTTTAGAACTCGTTCGTTTTGCTGCTTTTTTGTGCGGATTGCGAACGGGTCGGGGTTGTGACAGGCGGTGGATGACTCATGCCTCGCGCACCTCCAGGTGTGGCCGGGCCGGGGCGGGGCGGGGTGGCCCTCGGACAGGACACACCCTCCGCTGACACGGGCGGCGCGGTGCCGGCCCGGTGCCGGCGGTGCGCTGTCGGGGGCTAAAGGTGCTCGAAGGGGCGGCCGGGCGGCGCGGGGGAGCGGGCGGTTGGGGTGCGCGGTGGCACTGCGGGGCTCAGATCAAAATAGCGCCCTGCAGGCCGGGGCGGGCCGGAGACTTGCGCAACTAAAGCCTACGCCGCCGTGCCGCCGTGCCGCCGTGCCTACTCGCCAGCGACTGGCCGGCGTAGTGGCCCGTGGCGTCAAGCAGCGCCGAGCCGCGAGCACTATCACTGGCGATACCCCGCGCCGCAGTGACCGGCCCGAATGCGTGGGGTAGCGTCGCCAGCTTCGCTTTCTCCTTCACACTGCTGACAGTGGCGGACCCAGAGTCCCCCTGCGAGGGGGCAAAGTAGCATTTTTTTTGCCGAGGAAAGCACCTATTTGAACCGATTTGAACTCAAGCGGATTCCCAGAAACCGCAACGCGCAACGTTCACGTTGAAGAGGGAATTCCTCGCTGCGTCCGGCTTTCGCGCGAACAAAGAGGCAAACGAGCGTAGCTGCAACACACACACGCGCGCGCACACACACACACACACACACAGAGGCACACGCTCGGCTTGCAGCAGGCGGTAAAACCTTTCTTCGCCGCGCTGCAGGCCGCTCCACCCCTTGACTGTCCGGACGGACGGACGGAAGGACGGACGGACGGACGGACGGAATAGCGGCGGGAAATGGCTTTGGCGCCAACGGGCGCGCCGCGGTCTGTTTGGGCAGCGAGCTGCAGCAAGTCGACTTGCAGTGTGTGTGTTCCTAGTCTAGACTGCCCTCGTTGGCGTGGCCAGCGCCCCGGGCCCCGGGCCCTGGGTTCGCCACCTACGCCGTGCCGGCCGTGCTACAGCAGCCCCACTCCCGCTGACTAGCGAAGCGAGGCAGTCAGCCCCCCTCGACAATAGAAGCCCCTCACCGGCGGCGGCGGCGGCAGCACACTGTCGATCTGTCTCGCTCGCACTCACGGGGCGTCCCGTGTCGGTGCGAGAGAGACAGAGAGAGACTCTCGGATTCAGTCTGCAGGGGGAACCAAAGCGAACATGAGAGAAAGTCGCGGCCGGATCGACAAAACAGCGAATGCACTTCGGCCGACTTCGGCGAGCGAAAGGGGAGAACAGGCGGGAACGAAGGATAAACTGGGAGGGGGGGGGGGATTCGTGATGGGGCGCATCGGGGCTTGACGGGCGGGGCGGGGGGAGGGGGGGGGGAGGGCGCGAAAAGCCAGCACCAATATGCCAGGCCGATTTACGCCTTATTACTCTCACGCTGCGAAAGCGATGATATTTGTTCGGAAATTTCTTTTAAACACGCTCACACACACACACACACACACACACGCAGACGCGGGGAGTAAGGTCGTGGCGCGCAAGCTTGGGGCTGAAACGGGCAGCAGCCTCCCAGTGCCTCCCAGGCAGGCCTAACCCCTGCTCGCCTCTCGGGCCGGCGCGGCGGCGGGGGTTGCCAAGAAGTTAGAATGTCACTGTCAATTTATGAACGGGCTATTTTGAAAGCAAAAAGAGGCGCCTTGTGCGCGGGAACAGTGCAGGCGCAGAGCCATTGCCGGGGGTGGTCCGCGGGCTCCGCGGAGGGAGGCACCCCGAAGGCTGCCGAACGCGGTCGCCGGTCAGGACTCGCGCACTCGGCGTGCTCCAGCCGCGGTTCGACTCCCGGCAGGCGCCGCCGCGGTTTCCCGAAGCGCGCGTTTTCGCGAAATCAAATCGGTGGACCGGTGCCAGGCGAGTATATTTAAATTCCCAGTGTCGCCGCAAAGGCAAAAGCGTGCGCCTGGCGGCCTGGCACACAGATCCCGTGACACTGGACGATGTTGTTCGGATTTATTTACGTAGGGCCACGGGCAGAGGCAGCCACAGCGCGGGGCGTCCCGTGCAGGTGCGAGA